ATGTTGGCTCCCTCTGCAGAAGGTGGATGGGGAGGGAGGTGGGCAGGCAAGAGTGAGTGGTCTCAAGCTCCTGACCTCAGGTGATCCACCTGCCTCAGCCTCCCAAAGTGCTGGGATTACAGGTGTGAGCCACCGCATCTGGCCTTCTCGTTTGCTTTTAGAGCCAAGACAGGGAGACCAACATTTTCTCACAAACTTTGGAAAAGGCTAAGGGAAAAGAAAGAAGAAACAATAATAAGAAAAGTAGAAATTTTCGGCCGGGCGCGGTGGCTCACGCCTGTCATCCCAGCACTTTGGGAGGCCGAGGCAGGTGGATCACGAGGTCAAGAGATCAAGATCATCCTGGTCAACACGGTGAAACCCCGTCTCTACTAAAAATACAAAAAATTAGCTGGGCATGGTGGCGCGTGCCTGTAGTCCCAGCTACTCAGGAGGCTGAGGCAGGAGAATTGCCTGAACCCAGGAGGCGGAGGTTGCGGTGAGCCGAGATCGCGCCATTGTACTCCAGCCTGGGTAACAAGAGCGAAACTCCGTCTCAAGACAAAAAAAAAAAAAAAAAAAAAAAAGAAAGAAATTTCCATTGAATCTCTTTATAGCCACTTACATTTTATAACCCATGTGGCTCTATTCAGAACTTACTAGGCCAATACGGTGCTTTGACCTTGAGGCATTTTTGTCATCAGAAGTAGCCAGGTGAGAAAGGGGCTGCCGTGCTGTTCAGTACAGCCAGGATCCTCAAGTCACAGCAAAAGCGGCAGTAGAGGCCAAGTGTGGTGGCTTGTGCCTGTAATCCTAGCACTTTGAGAGGCTGAGGTGGGAGGATCATCTAAGGTTAGGAGTTCAAAACCAGCCGGGCAAACATGGTGAAACCCTGTGTCTACTGAAAACACACAAAAAATTAGCTGAGTGTGGCGGCAGGCACCTGGAATCTCAGCTTCTTGGGAGGCTCAGGCAGGAGGATCACTTGAACCCAGGAGGCAGAAGTTACTGAGATTTCGCCACTGCAATCCAGCCTGGGCAACAGAGCGAGACTCTGTGTCAAAAGAAAAAAAAAATAGGGGCAGTGGGCTCTAACACATACCATATTTCGGCACTGTTAGAAGTACCTTACTTATGTATGTAATCACAGTGACTCATTTAATCCTTATAGCGACTCATCAGGTAGCTGCTGTTATTTACCCCCATTGTAGAGATGAGGAAACTGAGGCACAGAGAGGTTGAGTAACACTTGCTCACAATCATATAGTTACTAAGTGGTAGAGCTGGAATTCAATCCCACGAAAGCCAGCTTGGGAGTCCATTCTCCTAATCTCTGTGCTATTTTACCTCCATGAGCAAATGATGACAAGTTTTGCTAAGAATATAGGGAGCCCGATGTAGGAGAGAAATGTGCCCTTTCACAGCCCTAGTCCCAGGCTCTGGGATGCCCTTCTGGCCTTGTAAGCATTCTGCCAAGGTGCTCAGACTCACTTAGCACAGCTCCCAGATGCAGAGGGCCCAGGCTTCTCTTCGACTGCCCAGCATTTCTGCCTCACCAGGGGAAACAGTGATAGTGATTCGTTTAGCCTGGAGCAGAGTCAGCAGCCTTCTCAGGAAGCGGGATCCCTGCCCTCCCCAGTGGCTGAGGACCTGCTGGCTCTGCCTCCCTGGTGACTTTCACAATAGCTCTCTAGGCTGGGGAGACAGGTGGAGCCACTCTCCTAAGCTGTGTCTGTCAGGACCTTAAACCTTTACGAACTCCTATACTCCATCCAGGGCATTTCAAGCAGACAGCATGACACATACAAAAATTGAGGAAGCGAGAAAAATCTAGGCATGTCCACAGATCAGAGGAGAGAGTGGCTGATGGGAGGGTGCCAGAGGGAGGGGCGGAGATGGTTTGAAATGGTAACCTCGGTCTAACTTTGATTATTGTAAAAGTACAGAAATGTAATGTTTCCCCTCTATAGGCGATGGAGAGTCATTGAAGGTCATGCTGTGTTTTTTAGGTTTACAGTTTAGCTTTTCAAGAAGCTGTTTTTCTTGTCTGTACATGCAGATTCTTTCCCAACGATTAGGACATACTGCCATCATGTGGCTCGGTGTATGCATGATCCCAGCTTACGTTGCTGAATGTTCTATCACGTTGTTTAATAATTAAACCAAAGAACACATCTCTGAATTCAAACAGCTGAGGTAAAGCAATGTTACTCTGTAAAAAAGGACATTTTCTATAAAATGGTTCAAAAAAATCAATACCTGGGTTCAATGATCTGATTTCTTACTTTGCTTTTAAAATTCTAACCTGGCCAGGTATGGTAGACTGTAATCCCAGCGCTTTGGGAGACTGAGGTGGAAGGATTGCTTAAGTCCGGGAGCGTGAGAACAGCCTGTGCAACATACTGTGACCCCCCCTCTCCACAAGAAGTGAACAAATTTAGCCAGGGGTGGTGGTGTGGAGTCTGTAGTCCCAGCTACTCGGGAGGTTGAGGTGGAGGATTGCTTGAGCCTGGGAGGTCGAGGCTACAGTGAGCCTTGATGGTGCCACTGCTCTTCGGCCGGGACAAGACCCTGTCTCTAAAAATAAATAATGAAATAAAAATAAAATTCTAACCTAGGTGTTTAGAGGTTCTGATCTCAAGGATCTCAAGACACACCTTAGGAAAGTGGCCCCACCGGTTTCTCCAGCCTGGCATGCTGTTGTGGTCTCTTGTTTTAGAATCCTGTTTTCTGTCCCTGCAATGGTCCCGCCCTTTTCAGGGTAGTTTGCAGCAATCCGCCTCCAGGACATTTCCTTTTACCCTGCCAGATTTTGTTTCGGCACTGGGATTATTCTCCCTGGAGGTCCCACAGTTGACAAACCTAAATTCAAATATTTACACCATTTTTTTTTTTCTCTGAGCTTCAGTTACTGCATCTGTAAAACAGGAACAACACCAGCCGGGTGCAGTGGCTCATACCTGTAATCCCAGCAATTTGGGTGGCTGAGGCAAGTGGATTACCTGAGGTCAGGAGTTCGAGACCAGCCTGGCCAGAGAGCGAAAACTTGTCTCTAGTAAAAAATTAGCTGGGCATGGTGGCAGGTGTCTATATCCCAGCTATTCAGGAGGCTGAGGCAGGAGAATTGCTTGAACCCAGGAGGTAGAGATTGTAGTAGCTGAGATCTTGCCACTACACTCCAGCCTGGGCGACAGAGTAAGACTCCGTCTAAAAAAATAAATAAATAAAATAAAAGATGACATCTGTAGGGTCCAGCCCTACAGGGTCCTTTGAGCCCCTCTCTGCTGATGTGGAGACAAGACATTGTAGAAATAAAAGACACAAGACACAGAGATAGAGAAAAGAGAGTTTGGGCCCATTGGTTCACTGCCAACCAAAGCCTGGAGTTTGGCAGTCGCCCCAAATGCCAGGACACTCTGACTTTTATGGCGTTGCAAATCTGGGGGTAGGGTAGGTAGGGTGTGGCCTTGGTGGTCTGCAATTGGGGGCAGGGTAGATAGTGTGTGGCAGTGATAGGGTCAAGTACATCACGTGTTGTACGGGTAGGACTCAGGAATTTCTAGTAGCCAAGATGAGGTAAGGGGCATAATGCATCAGCACTTTTCCATACTTGTTAAGAAAGAACAAAGACATTAAGATTTATATTACTTTTAGCCGGGCGCGGTGGCTCACGCCTGTAATCCCAGCACTTCGGGAGGCTGAGGCGGGTGGATCATGAGGTCAAGAGATCGAGACCATCTTGGTCAACATGGTGAAACCTCGTCTCTACTAAAAATACAAAAAATCAGCTGGGCATGGTGGCGCGTGCCTGTAATCCCAGCTACTCAGGCGGCTGAGGCAGGAGAATTGCCTGAACCCAGGAGGCGGAGTTTGCGGTGAGCCGAGATCACGCCATTGCACTCCAGCCTGAAGAGCGAAACTCCATCTCAAAAAAAAAAAAAAAAAAAAAAAAAAAAGATTTATATTACTTTTACTGATGATCTCGTCTAAAAAAAAGGAAATAGGTACAGAAAGGGAACATCAAAGTAGACATGGGATGTGACCACTGAAGCACAGCACCACACAGATGCAGGACAGCTTAAAGCATCTTGCCTTAGGGTCATTTCTTTCACAATCCCGCCCCAGGTTCACACTTCCGACCTGAGAGGCGTGAGTAAAAGAATTCAAATCACCTATGAATAACTAATAACTACCACGATTATATTTCCAGTTACTTTCTTCTTCATTATTTAGATGGAAATAGGCTGAGGCTTGTGGCTTCTGCCTCGGCGTTTAAGGGATCTCCTCCCTACAGACACCTTCATAGGGTCACAGGGTTATCATAAGGTGAAAGGATAGCATGTGTAAACAGTGCCTGGCACATTGCAGGTCCTCACATCGAGGGAGTCCTGTTTCATCCCTCTGTCCTTGAGGGCCTGTCATTTTTATTTTATTTATATTTATTTATTTGTTTTTGAGAGGTAATCTCTGTCGCCCAGGCTGGAGTGCAGGGTGCAATTTCGGCTCACTGCAAGCTCTGCCTCCCGGGTTCAGGCAATTCCCCTGCCTCAGCCTCCCAAGTAGCTGGGATTACAGACGTGCACTAGACGCCTGGCTAATTTTTTTTTTTTTTTTTTTTTTTTTTTTTTTTTTTTAGTAGAGAAGAGATTTCACCATGTTGGCCACGCTGATCTCGAGCTCCTGACCTTAGGTTATCCACCTACCTCGGCCTCCCAAAGTGCTGGGATTACAGGCGTAAACCACTGCGCCTGGCCTGTGGACCTGCTATTTTAAGCACAGAGCAGGCACGCAGTGGAGGTCTGTGATTTGATATCCGAGATCTACCTGGTCCTCAGCAACATTCCCGAGAACAAAACTACTCATCCCCTCAGGCTTTTGGGACCACTTCTATTTCCACGCGTTGGCGGTGGACCCCGGGCTTGCTGGCGTTTGCAATCCATGTGTCTCCCCTGTGCGCAGCAGGAGGCAGGTGCATGGGTGTGGGCAGGGCCCCGCGGCATTCGTTCCTCGCCGCTGCCTCAGGATTGTGTGTGTACATAATTCAATCCCCGTGGGACTGGAGTCTGGCCTCACCGGCGGCTTGGCTGATTGGCTGTCACAGCTCTCCCCCGCCCTCCATACCCCCCGCGTCCCAGGTGGCTCAGGCCCCTGGGTGATTTCTGTTTACCACGAGAGCTTGTCCAAGTTGGGCTCCATCTCTGCCCTCGCTCCACTTTGGGGCCCCTGCCCGGCTGGGAAGCGGAGAGAAAGCCGGGCCCAGCCCTTCCTCGCCCTTCCCCTCCCCGCACCGCCCCCGGAGAGGTCGGGTAAGGGGGAAGGAGTGTGCGTGGGACTGGGAGCCCTGGGCCTGGGGGATCTGGCTGTCCCCATCCCGGTGCCTCGCGTGGACCCGGGAGTTCCAGCCGGTGGACTGGCTCCGGCGCCCTCCGCCCCGCGCCGTCGCTCTCGGGGTGACGGGCCCACCCCGGACTAGCAGCCAGAGGCTGGATCTCAGGGATGCCAGCTCAGCAAAAGCACAGGCGTGGAGGCTTCTCTCACAGGTGTTTCCCCACCCCCGCAGACGGCGATGACCCCCCAGCCCGCCGGACCCCCGGACGGGGGCTGGGGCTGGGTGGTGGTGGCCGTAGCCTTCACTGTGAACGGGCTGTCCTATGGGCTGCTGCGCTCGCTGGGCCTGGCCTTCCCTGACCTTGCCGAACACTTTGACCGAAGTGCCCAGGACACTGCGTGGATCAGCGCTCTCGCCCTGGCCGTGCAGCAGGCAGCCAGTGAGGGGGACCCTGAGGCGGGAGATGGGAACGGCGTGGAGGGGCTGCGAGTGGAGGAGGGATGGGAGACCCACGTGATTATCCAACAACCTGAGAAAGGGCTACCGGCTCTAGAAGAGTAAACCTTTAGGTCCAGGAAAGGAATCATTAGTTCGAGGGAGGCAAACAGCCAATGAGAAGTGTTGGAGAGGGTTTGGGGGCCCAGGGGCATGTCTTCCATTGACCCTGCCCCCTTCCAGGCCCCGTGGGCAGCGCCCTGAGCACGCGCTGGGGGGCACGCCCGGTGGTGATGGTTGGCGGTGTCGTCGCCTCGCTGGGCTTTGTCTTCTCGGCTTTCGCCAGCAGTCTGCTGCATCTCTACCTCGGCCTGGGCCTCGTCGCTGGTGAGGGAAGTGGGGTGCCCGCGTCGTTCAGGGTGAAGGTGGGGACCGGAGCTTGTTGGGACCTGCGGTAACGAACGAGGTGGGGCCTGGTGCGGAGGGTGGGGCTGGGAATGCAGGGGCGGGTGTCCCCAGGGCCAGCCTCATCTCCTCCCATTCATTCGCAGGCTTTGGCTGGGCCCTGGTGTTCGCCCCTACCCTGGGCACCCTCTCCCGATACTTCTCCCGCCGTCGAGTCTTGGCGGTGGGGCTGGCGCTCACCGGCAACGGGGCCTCTTCGGTGCTCCTGGCGCCCGCGGTGCAGCTTCTCCTCGACGCTTTCGGCTGGCGGGGCGCTCTGCTCCTCCTCGGCGCGGTCACCCTCCACCTCACCCCCTGCGGTGCCCTGCTGCTACCCCTGGCCCTTCCTGGAGACCCCCCAGCCCCACCGCGTAGCCCGCTAGCTGCCCTTGGCCTGGGTCTCTTCACACGCCGGGCCTTCTCAATCTTTGCTCTAGGCACAGCCCTGGTTGCCGGCGGGTACTTCGTTCCTTACGCTCACTTGGCCCCCCATGCTTTAGACTGGGGCCTAGGGGGTTACGGGGCAGCGCTGGTGGTGGCCGCGGCTGCGGTGGGGGATGCGGGTGCCCGGCTAATTTGCGGCTGGCTGGCAGACCAAGGCTGGGTGCCCCTCCCACGGCTGCTGGCCGTGTTCGGGGCTCTGACAGGGCTGGGGCTGTGGGTGGTGGGACTGGTGCCTGTGGCGGGGGGCGAAGAGGCCTGGGGGGGTCCCCTGCTGGCCGCAGCTCTGGCCTATGGGCTGAGCGCCGGGAGTTATGCCCCGCTGGTTTTCGGTGTCCTCCCTGGGCTGGTGGGCATCGAAGGTGTGGTGCAGGCCACGGGGCTGGTGTTGATGCTGATGAGCCTCGGGGCGCTCCTGGGCCCCCCTCTGTCAGGTAAGGACCTGAGCCTGTAGATCCACTTACAACTATCCTCTGCCCCTGGACTTCAAGGCTTCTGAATTCCTTTACTCATCCTCCCAGGCTTCCTAAGGGATGAGACTGGAGACTTCACCATTTCTTTCCTCGTGTCTGGCTCTTTGATCGTCTCCGGCAGCTTCATCTACATAGGGTTGCCCAGGGCGCTGCCTTCCTGTGGTCCAGCCTCCCCTCCAGCCATGCCTCCCCCAGAGAGTGGGGAGCTGCTTCCCACTCCCCAGGTTGTCTCACTCTCCCCAGGAGGCCCTCACCCCACTCTGGATACCACTTGCTGATTATTTTAGTGTTTGAGCCCCTCTCCCAATAAAGAATTTTTATTGGGTTTTCCTGAAACCTCCAACTGTTCACCAACCTAGGACCCTGAAAACATTCTACTTAAAACAGCCAGAAAGGCTGACTCAGACGAACAGCCTCCCAGAAGGCCCTGGGAATGAGGAAGGGTTACTGTCTGTCCAGCCAACCCCTTTTTCTTCGCCCAAGTCTTCGCTGTAATAGGGAAGCTTTGAGAAGTTGTCTGCCCGCCAGTTTCAGTTTGTTCCTGGGGCTGGGGGTAGGTTGCTCGTGGGTGCTATCTGCCCGGTCTTCATGTCTCTTACTCTAGTACCCACACCTCCCAGACTGACTCTCCCCTGCATTTCAATCTTCTTGCTCTGTCGCCCAGGCTGTAGTGCAGTGGTGCGATCTCGGCTCACTGCATCCTCTGCCTCCGGGTTCCAGCGATTCTCCTGCCTCAGCCTCCTGGGTAGCTGGGATTATCGGCGTGTGCCACCACACCTGGCTAATTTTTGTATTTTCAGTAGAGAAAAGGTTTCTCCATGTTGGCCAGGTTGGTCTCGAACTCCTGGCCTCAGGTGATCTGCCTGTCTCCGCCTCCCAAAGTGCTGGGATTACAAGCGTGAGCCACCAAGCCCGGCCTCAATCTCCTTCTATGGGCCTGAGGGAAATACAAGAATCGTAGGCCCAGACTTCAGCTTTATCTGCTCTTTCCAAAGCTATCTGCACATCTATACTGTGTCCTCAGCACTCTCTGTTTCTTTTCTAAGCCACAAGGATAATAGGGAAGAGGGAGGTATGCAGTGCGTTGGAGAGCAGAGTCCAGGGTTAAAATGCCCTGGGTCATCAGAGCTCCTGGCTACGCTCCCCCACTCCCGGGCATGACTCCATTCAGCCAGCCCAAGCATATGGGCCCCAGCTCATTGTGAGGTTGTGATTATTATCTAATTTTCTTATTTGATTTTATCTCAAAGGGACATTCTTGTTTCCCAAACATGAGTGTTCAGAGAAGAAACTTAGGAGGCAACACTAGAGATAGTATACAAAACATGATAAGTCTCTTGGCCTTTGATTTTCACAGTTGATTCACAGCTCAGTGAAGCAGGAACTCCTGGATGTTTAAAAACTCCTGGGTCCTTTAGAAAAGGTTAGGGGACTCAAGGAGGAGAAATAAGAGTCCTCAAGAAAATACAAGGGATTAGCACACACTTTGCAGGAGCCTCAGGCCTGCTCTAGGGGGATCTTAAGGCACTGTGGCTCTGTGGAGGCCAAGACGTGGCAACAGAAGACCTGGCGCTGTCACGCTCTGAGTTTCTGGGCCTGACCCTGTGGAGTTCAGTCCTCTTCCAGCTCTTCCTTGGGCAGGGGAACTTCAGTGTCCAGTGCTTCTGTTACAAGGTCCTGGGGCCTGGAGGTAGCAGCTGAGCAGCAGAAGAAGTGGGGCAGGGTGATAAGAACCCCACTCCCTGAAAGAAGGAAGGCTCCAGCCACCACGAAAGAAGCCGTATAGTTGCCGGTCACATCCCGGAGGTAGCCTAGGTCCAAGAGAGGAAAACAGATACACATGGGTGCTCTGTCTGCTGGGGCTGATAGCTCAAACACATTTTTGGGTGGAGGGAAGACTTCTCATCTCAGAGGAGTTGGAACTCCCATGGACTAGTTGGATAAACTTGAGAACTCTGGCTTCCCAAAAGGGCCTCAAAAGTTAATTTCAAGCCGGGCGCGGTGGCTCAAGCTTGTAATCCCAGCACTTTGGGAGGCCGAGGCGGGTGGATCACGACGTCGAGAGATCGAGACCATCCTGGTCAACATGGTGAAACCCCATCTCTACTAAAAATACAAAAAAATTTGCTGGGCATGGTGGCGCGTGCCTGTAATCCCAGCTACTCAGGAGGCTGAGGCAGGAGAATTGCCTGAACCCAGGAGGCGGAGGTTGCGGTGAGCCGAGATCGCGCCATTGCACTCCAGCCTGGGTAACAAGAGCGAAACTCCGTCTCAAAAAAAAAAAAAAGTTAATTTCAACTACCTCCCTGCCTTCAGAAAGGACCTCCAAACCACCTGCAGGTATCTGGAGATTCAGATGGAATCAGGCCTACTTGTGTCTTTCTTTCTGCCAACTGTGGCCTTTCTAAACCTTGAGTTAATAGGTAAGAGGAGATAAGGGTCTGAAAGTTCTGGCACTCTGAGCCAGCAGACCTTTGACCAGGTGCCTCAGACACCCAGATTAGGGCCCAGTGGGCCCAAGGTCAAGGTAGACACTGGAATGCTACATCTATGTCTGGCCAGGTTCTGCCAGGTCTTCTGAAAACCCAAGCTGTAGGTGCCCTGCCAAGGGTTCCACTTAGTTTCTCTTTGTCTTTGCACTCAGACTTTCTTGGCCCCACGTTCTTTGCCCCTTGGACCATTTCAGGGATGCTATGGTTGGCCATGCAGGCTGTGTACTGTACTACACCAGAGTACAGTATTTACATACACTGTAATGAGAATAGTAGCCTCCCCAGCCGGGTGTGGTGGCTCATGCCTGTAATCCCAGCTAATCCTAGCACTTTGGGAGGCTGAGGTGGACAGATCACCTCTAGGAGTTTGAGACCAGCCAGGCCACCATGGTGAAACCCTGTCTCTACTAAAAATACAAAAACTAGCTGGGTGCGGTGGCGTAAGCCTGTAATCCCAGCTACTCGGGAGGCTGAGGCAGGAGAATCGCTTGAAACCAGGAGGTGGAGGTTGCAGTGAGTTAAGATCATGGCACTGCACTCCAGCCTGGGCAACAGAGCAAGACTCCATTGCAAAAAAACAAACAAAAAAAAAAACAAAAAAAACCCACAACGAACCAAAATAGGCTCCCCTAGCTGTGCAACATGGCAGCCCTGATCCCCTAGAAACCCCATTCCACTTACCTGATAGGGGAGGTCCCAGCAGCCCCCCGATGCTCTCTATCATCTGCAACAGTCCCAGGCCACAGTAAATCCTTCTAGTCCCAACTAGTTCCGGCAGCACGGAGAAGGCCAGTGGGGCCAGCGCCCCTGATGTGAAGCCGTAGGCCACAGCCAGAGCCACTAGGGCTGTGGGAGCCCGAGCTACAGGGAACAGGGCTAGTGACACCCCAGTCAGGGTGGTCCAGAGCATCAGGAGTCGTGTCACGGGCCCTGGGACTGCGTCTCCTAGCCATCCGGAGGCCACACGCCCCACGAGGTCAGAAATAGCAGCAACTGAGAGGAGGAAGGCAGCAGGCAGTGGGTCCCAATCCAGGTCCTGGAGATGGGCCACCAAGTGGAGGTAGGGAATGAAGTAGCCAGTGTTGATCAGTGTGAGGGCAACAGTGTAACGGAGGAAGGGGCCATGATGGAGAAGGGAGGTGAGTTGGGCCCTGGGACCACCCACAGCAGGGTCCTCAGTCAGGGAGGGTGGCCGGAGGAGAGCACCACAGGCCACCAGGTGGAGGGAGATGGCAGACACCAGCAGTAGGGAACCCCGCCAGGCATAGCGGCTGAGCAGCCACTGGAAAAGGGGGGCAAATGCGAAGGAGGAGAGGCCCACGCCTGTCAGTGCCAGCCCGGTGGCCAGGGATCGACGGCGAGAGAAGTAACAGGACAGGCAGGCCAGGGTCGGAGCGAAGGTCAAGGCCCAGCCAGATCCTGTCAAAAAGGAAGAAGTGGGGTAAGGGACTCTTTTTTTTTTTTTTTTTTTAATTTTTTTTTTGCTCTGTTGCCCCCTGGGTTCAAGCAGTTCTCCTGTCTCTGCCTCCCAAGCAGATGGGATTACAGGCACATGCCACCACACCCAGCTAATTTTTTGTATTTTTTTTTTCAGTAGAGATGGGGTTTCGCCATATCGGCCAGGCTGGTCTCAAACTCGTGACATCATGATCCACCCGCCTCAGCCTCCCAAAGTGCTCACCGGCATGAGCCACTGTTCTGGTCGGGGTTAGGAACTCTTAGGGAGCTCAGGGCACCCGGTAATCCCCACATTGCGCAGCAGCAGAATGTAGTACTTAACTTGGCGTCCCACAGACCTGGGATACAGTCTTGGTTTGGACATTTTCTAGCTGTGTAACCTTGTATTTTACTTAACACTCCCAGCCTCAGCCTTCTCAACTGCAAAATGTAATAATACGCTTTTTGGGATTGTGAGGATTAGAGACAGAGTCTGTAAGGAAACTAGCACAGAACTTTGCAGTTAGACCTGGGCTCTACCATTTCTGGCGGTGTAACCTTCATTTGCCAAGTTGTATAAGATTTAAGGCATTTCCTCAGCTGTAAATAGAATAATGATATCGATTTCACAGTCACAGTACCCAGCACCATAGTATAGTAATTCTTCCTTTTACACTCCAGGCCAACTAGCCCTGGGCTTGTAAGTTGGTTTCATTTTTTTTCTTTTTCTTTTTTTGAGACAGAGTCTTGCTCTGCTGCCCAGACTGGAGTGCAGTGGTGCAATCTCAGCTCACTGCAACCTCCGCCTTCCAGTTCAAGGGATTCTTCTGTCTCAGTTTCCCCAGTAGCTGAGATTACAGGCATGTGCCACCACGCTCAGCTAACTTTTTGCATCTTTAGTAGAGACAGGGTTTCACCATGTTGGCCAAGCTGGTCTGGAACTCCTGACCTCAAGGGACCTGCCTGCCTCAGCCTCCCAAAGTGCTGGGATTACAGGCGTGAGCAGCCACGCCTGGCCGGTTTTCATCATCTTTGAATTTCCTAATTCCTCACCATGTTTGTCGGTTTAGCAACCGGCTAGGTTTCATCATCTTTGAATTTCCTAGTTTCTCACCACGTTTGTAGGTTTAGTCATTCCTTTTAAGATTTGCCTTCTGGGCACAGGTGCTAGCCAAACTTTCCCTCAGCCTCTCCCTGAACCTTTTGAAAGAAGCAGGTAGGAGGTGACCGTCTAGCCATCTAAAGCATTTGACTCTTCTGCCCTTGCGCAGGCTCTCACCTGACAGCAACCCAATACTCAGGTATAGGTGGGTCAAGGAGGTAGCAAAAGAGGCGAGCAGCATCCCCAGCGCAGCCAAGACGCCTCCAGTCATCACCACCGGCCTGGGCCCGAACTTCGTGCTCAGGGCACTGCCTACCGGGCCTGAGGAAGTGGAAGGGGCGTTGCGAGAAGATCTCGGGCGTCTCCCCGCTTGCATCTCCCACCCCTCGCCTTCCCCTTTCCGGTCCCCGCATTCCCTCTCCCTTCTGAGGGTCGAAGTCCGCCAGATCCAGGCACAGCACTCACTCCCAAACTGCTGCACCGCGATTCCTATGGAGACGATCCAGGAGATGCGCGATGCTTGCTCTTCAAACGCCGCCACGAACTCCACGAAGAAGACCCCAAAGGAGCGCAGCACGCCGAACACCAGCGCCGACTGGAAGAATGCCGAGAGTACCACCATCCAGCCCCAGCCCCCGTCGGGGGGCTCGGCCGCACGCACCATCTGGGCGGCAACAGGGCTGCTTGCTACCCGGAGCCTCTGCGGGAGCCGGGTTCCGGACGCCGCACCTCTGCACACGCACCCAGACAGCCAGGTGGCTCGGGGCCGAGAGGGTTTGGACAGGCAGGTAGAGAGGAAGGAGCCGACGAGGCGGCGAGAGGCCCATGCACCTTTTCCCAAGTGGGGGCGATGTACGACTGAAGACCAGGCCCGCGCTGGCCAGGCAGTGGGCTCCCGGGGGCGTGGTTCCCCGGGATCGGAGCTGAGTTAGTCCAGGCTGGCGCCGGATCGATCCCGACTCAGTGTTTGGCTGGGAGCCAGAGGGCGGACCTGCGCTTGGGCCACACCCCTGGGGCGCGCGGGTCTCGGTGTGGAAGATCTGTTTTATCGCTGGGGTGTCGGCGCCGGACCACCCGGGCCGACATCCCGGTCCAGAGCGAGCCAATCAGGACGCGGGCTCCCGGGCAGGGCGGGATTTAGGCTTTGTTGGGACCCGCGCGGGGAAAGGGCGCATGCGTAAGAAGGGGAGTTAGGAGGCCGACTGGGTTGGGCCCCACGTGATGCGGGGACTGCCAGGAAGCTCCCGGGGTGCTTCCGTCTCCCCTTCACCTAGCGGGCCGACTCATCCTCATTTTAGCAGCCAGACCCACACACGGAAGGGTTAGTGGTGGGTAAACTGGTTCTGGAGAGGAACGCACTGTCTTGCTTTGATGAGGTGTTCCGGAATTGCAAGGCCCTGTTGGGGGTAGGGGAGGGGATATGAGATGAGACTCAAGACTGAGTGTCTGTCCGAGCGCCCGAAGCTACTAACACGCAGCCCTGTCCACGCGCGTCTAGAGGCCTGGATCCCTGAGAAGTTCAAAGGCTCAGGGAAGAGAGAAGGGGAATCGGTTGGACTGCCAGCGTTCATTTCTGTAGTGGGAACTCGTTCTTGTCCTTCTGGTCCCACTAACAGGAAACCTACAGGTCACAGAGACCAAAAATAACTGAGGAGAGGAAGGGCGGCTGTAAGCTCACACAGGGCCCTGCCAACACCACCTACCTCTTCCTCACTGGCGCTGGAACTTTTTCCTCTGCCCTCTAGTAACAGCCACTTCCTAACCACCTTTTTTTTTTTGATCTCATGGTGGGAGAGACTAAAGAGACAAACTATGACCCTGGCCACTGGAGCAGTCAGCTCTCTCCTACCCAACTGGTCCTCAGGCCCCTAGCTAACACCGCCCAACGCCCCCCACCGCAGTCCTTCCCATTCTCCATAACACCAATGACTCGGATTTCCTGTTCCTTCATTATAAGCCAAGCTTCCTAGGCACATGCCTGTAGTCTCCCAGGTACTCAGGAGGCTGAGGCAGGAAAATCGCTTGAACCCAGGAGGCAGAGGTTGCAGTGAGCCGAGATTGTGCCACTGCACTCCAGCCTGGGTGACAGACAGCCCTAGACTTCGTCTCAAAAAAAAAAAAAAAAGAAAAAAGAAAGAAATATAGAAGTAAAAGCCATTCTGATGAGGTTTCAGATGGGACTGAAGAGCAAGGTATTGAAAACTAGAGTAAAGGCCATCCTTGTTAGGAACTGGCAAAGACCTTGGCTGAACTGTGTCCATGCCCGAGGACTGTATGGAAGGCTGAACTTGAGAGTGATGCACTAGGGTATCTGGCAGGCAGAAGAAATTTCTAACCAGCCAAACGCTGAGGCTGTGGTGTGGTTTCTTCTAACTGCTTATGGTGATCTCATAGAGAGTAGAGAAACAGAGTGGAAAAATTTGGAAAATTCTTGGCCTGGCCACGTGGTATGGTAGAGAATGAAAGAGCATTTTCAGGAGATGAATCCAAGGGTGTGGCCAAGCCACTGCTTGTCAAAGAAAAAGATTAACATGGGTGAAAGGGAGCCAGGTGCTATTCCTCAAGAAAATGAAGAAAGTCCCTGAGGTCATTCCAGAGCTAATTGAGGCTGGCCCTCCCATCACAGGCCCAGAAGCCTTGGAGGACAGAGGGTTTCAGGAGACAGGCCCACCATGGGTTCCACCACCCAGGGCTACCTCAGGACTCTGCTCCCTCATGCCCCAGTGTAACAGTCTGCGGCCCACCAGCCTGGTGGAGGCTTAAGTGGCCCCAGGTGTTGCTTGTACTGAAGCTCCAGAAGGTGCAAATCATAGACCTTGGCTGCATCCTTGTGGTGCTAATTCTGCAGTCTTGCAGAATGTAAGAGCTGTGAAGGCTTGGCAGACCCCACGCAGGTTGCAAAGGATGTTGTTCAAAGCCTAGGGGCCCGGGCAGAGACTTGTCACAGGGGCAGAGCCACTAGAGAGCGCCCCCACCAGAGCAATGACCAACAGAAACGTGATAGTGAAGTTGCCTCTGAGAGTGCCTGCCAGGACAATGCCTATTGGAATTGGGCAAGTGAGGTCACTGCAGAGTCCCCACTGGGGTAATCCCTGGTGGAGCCATAGGACCAAGGCCAGTGCATGCAGTCCTCAGTAGGGCAATGCCCAGTGGAGCTGTGGGAGCGGGACCACCACTGGGCCCCCAGAACTTCAGAGTCACAGGCAGTATGCAGTCCCAGGAAAGCTTCAGGCACCAGACTCCAGCCCACTCACCAAAGTTATAGGGGCTGGGTTGCTTAAAGCCTTGGGGATCCAACCTCCACCCTGTGTCAGAAGATACCACATGTAGTCAAAAAAGATTATTCTCTACCTTTAAAATATAATGTTGACCGGGCGCAGTGGCTCACACTTGTAATCCCAGCACTTTAGGAGGCTGAGGAGGGCAAATCACAAGGTCAGGAGTTTGAGACCAGCCTGGCCAACACAGTGAAACCCCATCTCTACTAAAAATACAAAAATTAGTTGGGTGTGGTGGCAGGCATCTCTAATCCGAGCTAATTGGGAGGCTGAGGCAGAAGCATCGCTTGAACCCGGGAGGCAGATGTTGCAGTGAGCCGAGATTGTTCCACTGCACTCCAGCCTGGGTGACAAGCGAGACTCAAGCCCCCGGCCCCCCAGCCAAACGATGTAATGTTGGCTCTGCTGGGTTTCAGACTTTCTTGGGGGCCTGTTTCACCCCTTTCTTCTTGACTATTTCTCCCTTTTGGAATAGGAATGTGTACACTATGCCTGTTCCCATCATTGTATCTTGGAAGCGGGTAACTGGTTTTGATTTCACTAACACAGATGAGACTTTGATGCTGCAGTGAGTTAAGACTTTGGGATTATGGGGAGGGAATGAATGTATGTGAGGACAGGAGTTTTGGGGACCCAGGGGCAGAATGCTATAGTTCGTGTCTCCTCCAGAAATTCATATGTAAACTTTTAGTCCTCAACATGACAGTATTGAGAGCTGGGGCTTTTATTATTTATTTATTTATTAATTTATTTTATTTTTATTTTTTGAGACGGAGTTTCGCTCGTTACCCAGGCTGGAGTGCGATGGCGCGATCTCGGCTCACTGCAACCTCCACCTCCCGGGTTCAGGCAATTCTCCTGCCTCAGCCTCCTGAGTAGCTGGGATTACAGGCACGTGCCACCCTGCCCAGCTAATTTTTTGTATTTTTAGTAGAGATGGGGTTTCACCATGTTGACCAGGATGGTCTCGATCTCTTGACCTCGTGATCCACCCGCCTTGGCCTCCCAAAGTGCTGGGATGACAGGCTTGAGCCACCGTGCCCGGCCAGAGAGCTGGGGCTTTTAAGAGATGATTGGCTCCTGAGTGCTCTGTCATTCATGGATAATGGGTTATCATGGGAAGGGAACTGGTGGCTTTACAGGAAGATGGAGAGAGACCTGAGCTGGCAGTGTTTGCATACTTGCCACCCCCCATGTGATATCCCGTGCTGCAGAGAGCCCCCACCAACCAGAAGACCATCACCAGATGTGGCCACTTGACCCTGGGCAAAATTTTCAGTGTCCGTAACTGTAAGAAATACGTTCCTTTTCTTTATAAATTGCTCAGCTTCAGGTATTCTGTAATAAGCAACTGAAAATGGACTAAGACAACCACGAACTTTCAGTGTTGGAGGGAGTTGCAGAGATTATGTTAACTAACTTTTCACAGATGAGGAATTGGAAGGCCCCGAGGAAGGTAACATCAGAATCGACCTCTGCCTGTGGGGCAGAACAGAGATATGCACCCAGCAACACAAAGGACAGGGGAAAGGGTGGGAGAGATGCATGCACTGGACCAGGGATAGATTCAGGATCCCCTTGCTGCGGGAAGGTGGGCTGGCATATTGGTTCCAACTCTCTTCTCAGTGCCACCTCCAGCCGCTGTGGTCCTTAGGGGACCCAAATCCTAGCCCTTTGCCTTGGTGGTGGAGGCATGGCCGAGAATTAAGATCCCCCTCACAGATGCATGCCCCAGCCTCTTGGTATTATTAGCGGCTTCCTGGTTTCTCCCTGCCGCCTCCACACCTCAGGCAGGAAGTGACTTCAGAGCGGCAGGATGCAGGTGGCTCCGGAGAAACTTCATGAAGTCACTAGTTCCTACACAATGAGCAGGAAGGCAAGGGCAGGGAAGGGGACAACGAGGAATATTTCAAATGTCTGGTGGGACAGGACAGGGGAACGGTACAGAATCCAAGATGTTATCCAGGAGGAAGAGCTCTCTTCCCTTGTCCCCAAGCACCCCTCCACTCCCTCACCAGGCAAGAACCCAGGACACAGCAGGCAGCACAGAAAGGCTTCTTTATTCCATCCAATCTGCTAAATAGAAACCGTGGTTCCTTCTTACATACTCCTCTACCTTCCCTTCTTCCTTCTTTAATTCTGCAATGGGGGCCACAGGTGGAGGGCTATTGCCTTAGGGATACCAGAGCAGCTTTCTCACTAGTCCCCAGGTGAGAGCCACTAGTACTGACTTCTCGTTTAAGTTCTCCCCCGGAAATTCAAAAGCGCTTCTTACTTTTCACCCTTGTCCCATAATCAAATAGGCCCCAGGGCAGCTAGGGGCAGAACTATAAATCAAGGCTTCAGCGCGTCTTCTAACACTTCAGAGACTCCACCCATTCAAGAGACAATCCCATTCCTAACTTTCTACCCACCTGGCCTACACCAGAAACTGCACCCCTCAGCCAACCCCTTAATCCTACCTGAAACTTGGTCAACTAGAACAAGCCTTTGGCCTATCAGTTAGTCAATCTTTTAAATCTGTAATGCCAACAATAATCTCAACCAAACTAAAGCAAACCCAGAATGGAACTCAGCCCTTTTTCTTTTCCTATGGAAGGTTCTAATGCATTCACTGGTTCTGGACAGGAATGCAGTGATGGGAAGACCAGGTCACAGACCCAGCTTTTCTAAGGTAAGGTTACAAAGCACCGTCACTTTCTAGAGACAAAGAAGGTTCTGGCATCTGGACACTTGCCAGAAGATGTCCAAAACCCAGTAAAGGAAGAAGGGGTTCAACTCAGTAGAGAGAACCCCAATTAACATTCAAACCCAGATGCCTCCGTAGTATAGGCTGGGTCAAGACTCTTTACCATCTAATCCAGGTAAAGAGTTTCATGATTCTTCCCTAGGTCATAACATTCATAGAGAGTGGACAGAGTCAGAAAAGGTCACATCATCTCTGATAAGGAATTTCTGATCTCTCCCCCATGGAGCGATCAACTCAGTGCTAAGAACAGGCCCCCTGTGGGGGGATGACGGGCTCAACTTAAGCCCTGCTGGGGCTCTACCATGACAGATGGATACAGCAGCGCCAAACCCAAGTGCCCACATTAATCGGACAGTTTAGGTTCTGGACTATCTTGCAGAAAAAACTGCCGGCCTCTACCTGGAGTGATAGGGAATCCCCCGCACCCACAGCCTCTAGGTCGCATTTATTATTATCTCCATTTTAGGCTCAACACAATGGTTCCTATCACTCTTGAAGAACAGAGACATGTCTACATCCATTTCTAGCCTGCCAGAGAACCTACAACATCCAGAATACCAGAGAGGGTTCCTGACCCAGTTCCACAATCCCACGTGCTCCCAGAGCTGCCCTAGAACAAATAAAGGTTCCAGACCTAGAATTAGAGGGGCAGGACACAGAGAACCCCTTTTTCCATTTTAAACAAACTAACAAGCAAACAGGAGAAAGAACAATTCTAAAGATTAAAGTTATGACAGAAATAATATAAAACACCCAAGCCAAAGGAGCGAGCCAAGGGCTAGGAATCTCTGCCAGCAGAGCTGTGACCTCACCTTCTGTGTTCCAGGTCACTTTTGATCACACTTGTGGAAGACGGAAGTGAGACATGGAACAGAATGAAGGTCCTGGTGCCACCCAAAGGCCTCAATAAATTATATTTACAGATAAACCGAATGCAGCGGGGGCCACAGGTGGAGGGCTATTCCCTTAGGGAGACCAGAACCTCCCATCTCTCCCCTCGCCCGGCCCCTAGCTAGCTCTGTCCTCAGGAACAATCTGGCTCGTGGGGAAGAGGTTTTGACCAGCAAAACGGAGGCAGATCTAGCCGGGATCCGCCACCCCTGCTCTCCCCAGCGAGAAATTCAGATGGTGGCAATTTCTGATACCAAAGTGGCCTTGCACACCCCCATGCCTAAGCCTGATAGGGAAGCAAGGCCTGAGCCTGCAGCTTTCCCCGCTACAGGAAGCAAGTGGGGTCTGGACCTGCGCTCAGCTAGGGCCCCCCAAGAATGTGGTAGTGCACTTTGGTGTTGGTAGCAGCTCCGTGTTTCTGGCGCAGATGCAGCCGCAGTTGACTCTTGTGCCGGAAATGCAGGCCACAGGGGTCGCACTGTGGGAGGACAGCCAGGTCAGGGCCTGCCCCATCCACAAGCACCTTTTAGGTGTTGGAGGGTGGGGTGCTGTCCAGCTCTCCCGGGTGAGAACTGTCCAGGGGAAGGTGAGCTCTTTGACTCTCACATCCTGCCAAATCCTCAGGTGTGGCTGAGGGGCCAGGCCCCACCTTAGCAGAGGTTTTCCCACTTGTTAGCTCCTCTCTGAGAAAACAGTACCCAGCTGAGGAGCGTAACTTCTATACCTGTCCACCCCCCTTCCCAGCCTCCACCCCTTATTTGCTTGGACTCTTCAGCCTCTGCCCATTTCTAAGAGATCTGGGGACAGCAAGGCCTGCGCCTCTCGGAGCCCACCCCCAGGCAAAGGAGAGGTTATTCTAAGGCACTGGGCAGGCCAGGTCGGGTACCCACGTGGTAAGGCTTCTCGCCGGTGTGGATGCGGACGTGGCTCTTGAGGGTCTGTAGGTGGCGGAAGCGGGTCCCGCAGGTAGGGCAAGGATAGGGCTTCTCCCCTGTGTGGATCAGCACGTGCGCCCGCAGATGTGCCACCTGGGAGGGTGGAGATTCCAAGTCATGTTTCTGGGAGAGACAGAAGAACCCTCCGTACTGGCCCTTCCCGCGTCTTGCAGGTTTGCCTTTGAGGCCGCTGGGAGGCTGGTTTCGTACCTGCACAAAGCGTGAGCCGCACGTCTCACACTTATAGGGCTTCTCTCCCGAATGGATGCGGCTGTGTGTTTTCAGGTTTGCTGGCCGGTTAAAACGGGCTCCGCAGATTGAGCAGTGGTAAGGCTTTTCCCCTGGAGGTAGGGAAGATGGGAGGTCAGGCAATTTGCCCAAGGACAGCTGTGGGCTTGAATGCCAGGGCCCTCTCCTCCTCTACCTGTGTGCACTGTGCGGTGACTGGCCAGGTTGCCCTTGTAGCGGAAGGAAGACCGGCAGAGCTGACATTTATAGGGTTTGTCTTCATCCCCAGGAACCAAGGGGTCCAGCCCCGATGAGCACCCAGCCACAGCCTCACAGTTCTGGCAGCTGAAAAATTCACTTCCTGGCAAGGGGTGTGGGTAACGGCAACCATAGTAATTAATGAAGGCTGTCTAGGTACTAGTGAATCCTCAGGCCACATTGCAGCTTTCGTTTTCTCAATTATTGTTAAGACTTCTGGGACTGATTTGACTTGCTTGAGGCCAAATAAGATAGTAAGATGAGCCATATCTGACTCCATATCTGTCCGCTTCCAGAGTACTCAGCTAATCTATTCAATAGCAGTGGTGGTGGCTGGGCGAGGTGGCTCACGCCTGTGATCCCAGCACTCTGGGAGGCTGAGGCACGTGGATCACGAATGAGGTCAAGAGAACGAGACCATCCTGGCCAACATGGTGAAACCCTGTTTCTACTAAGAATATAAAAATTAGCAAGGTGTGGTGGCGTATGCCTGTAGTCCCAGCTACTTGGGAGGCTGAGGCAGGAGAATAGCTTGAACCCAGGAGGTGGAGGTTGCAGTGAGCCGAGACTGTGCCACTGCACTCCAGCCTGGTGAGAGAGTGAGATTCCGTCTCAAAAAAGAAAAAAGAAAAAAAAAAAAAAAAAAAAAGTGGTGGTAGGTGGAGGCCCCTGCTAATGGGAGGAGGTTTCTGTTTCTCCATTTTTCTTTTGAGACAGGGTCTTGCTGTGTTGCCTGTGCTGGAGTGCAGTGATGTGATATTGGCTCACTGCAGTCTCCACTTCCTGGGTTCAAGCAATCCTTTCACTTTAGCCTCCTGAGTAGCTGGGACTACAGGTGTATACCACCATGCCTGGCTAATTTTTATTTGTATTTTTAGTAGAGACCAGGTCTTACCATGTTGTCCAGGCTGGCCTCGAGCTCCTGGGTTCAAGTGATCCTCCTGCATTGGCCTCCCAAAGTGCTGGCATTAGAGGCATGAGCCACCGTGCCTGGCTAAAATCTCCTCCTCACTTGTACCCCTCTGGATGACAGCTTGCAAGACAGTCCCTGACAAGCTTTGGGCTGAACATTCAGCCCCGAAAGGGGATAGGCCAGAAATCCTCAAACTTTGCTGCTCATTGGAAGCTCTTGGGGAGCTTTTAAAAAATGCTGATGACTCGTTCCCATGTCCAGATATTTCAATCTATGGAGCATGACCTGGGTGGTGGGAGTTTAAAAGCTTCCTAGGTGATTCTAATTTGTAGTAAAGTTTAGGAACCATTGGAATAGGCCTTTCTGGGGAGCTTTTTCGCTGCAAGCTTGCCTGGAGCAGTCATGGGAGAAAAGGCAGGAGAGAATTGCTCTTACCTGGTAAGAATGAACGCGCTCGCTCAGAGGGGGATCCAGAGGTCTCTTGAGCCTGGGCCATGAGGAGGTGGGGGGTACTGGCAGGAGCCCCACATTTGAACTGCACAGTGGCAGCAGCTGGGGAGAGCCTAGGCAGATGGCAAGGCCCAGAGGAAAGGGTTAAAAGTGATTGTATGGACAGCGGGAGTGGACAGGAAAGTGGGGGAATCGCTCCCAGGAAATTTGGAGCCAAAGTCCTGCCCTCTGGGGCTGAGCCAAGACTGACCAATAAACTACGTACATTGTACTGCCAAAGTACCACCCTGCTGGATCAACCTGGTCCCTGGCCAACTCCCTAAGGTGGGATAGTGTCTCTGAAACCCACCCCGTCTCCTTTCCTCCTGACCACGAAGGCCCAATGGCTCTGTCTCCTGGCTGAGGCCAGCTCTGACAAATCCTTGAGGTTCTAGACTCTGTACCTGCTCTGGGGACCAGGAATGGGTCCTTCTTCACTGCTGCTGCCGCCGCTGCTGCTGCTGGAGGCCTCATCTCCACTGGGGAGCCTGGCTTGGGGGCAAGGTTGACCAGAACTCCTCTCCCCCACTAGGCTCCCTGCTTGGGAGGCCTGAGAGTTTAGCACGATGTACTTGTACTTTTTCCAGTTGCAGGCTTTGGGGTCTGGGCTGGCTGGACTGGGGGCGCCTTGACGGCAGCTTCGAGATTCAGTAGGTGGGTCTGGGTGTCCTTCAGAGCGCCTGGGACTGCCTGGTGGAGGGGCTGTTGGGGGTGTCGGGGGTTCTGCTTCCAGAGGCCGCAGGGAGATGCCCAGAGGTTCATAGCTGAGGAAAGTGTGATCAACCTTAGTGCCATCTCCCAGTCTCTGCCTTTGCCCTTAACAGCTGGGGCACCACCTCACCCACAGAGAACGCCGACCCAGGCTCTCACCTGGCCTGGATGAAGCGGTGGCATGCCTGGACCACGTGCTCCATCTGCAAATAGGTGGCAGCGGCAAGGACTGCTGGTGCAGTGGCCGGAGAGAGGCGCAGGCGAGAAGTGTACATGAAGTCCAGGAGAGGGGCGAAGCCTCTGGCTTCGGGGCCCCCGGGCAGAGAGAGCACGTCCACGCCGACTCCCGCACGGCCCCGGAAGATTGAATAGAAAAAGCCACTGCAAAGAGAGCAGATGGGTCTATTAGGGGCTGGGGAAGCAAGGGAGGCACTAGCCGTGTTAGGAAGCCCCGCCCCCTGAAGAAGTTCCACCTCCTCACGATCACCCCGCCCCCAATTCTGGGACTCGGTCTCCTGCTTCTGGAAGACTTGGCTTAGGATTCCCGCTCCACGGCCGTCGGGCCCCGCCCCTTTCCCATTTGGCCCCGCCCCCGCCGCAGGCCCCACCCCTCGAACCTGCAGGCGATGAGAACTGCCTTGTGTGCCCGGAGGGGTTGCCCGCCAACCAGTAGCGTGACGTCAGTGAGGATCCCGCGCAGGCGCAGCTCGTTGAGGTTGCCCAGCACGTCGGAGGAGTGGCGAGTGAACTCGCGGACGTAGCCCAGCGCTCCCTCCGGGGCGGCGGGGGAACCCATAGCGATGCAGGCCTGCAGAGGCCGTGGAAAGTGCGCTCGATCCAGGCAGTCCTAGGACGCCTTCCCTCGTCTGTTTGCCTTTTCCTTCCGAGGTGCAGTTAGAGCCCGGGCCTCCAGCCCCTAGCCCCGGCACATGCAGCCTTCCTCCTAATTCTTCTTGCTCATTCTGCCCTCCACGACACCATCGCTCGCTTGCCTCTTCCAGATCCCACAGCGCTTGGAGCCAGTTGAAGGTTCCACTCCGCTGCGTCGTTGTTGAGCGTGGGGAATCCCGCGTCCAGCACCCTGGGTTCGACTCCCAGCGCCCCTCCAGCACCGCCACTTCCCTCTGCTCGCCTGCGTCCCAGCGTCCGAGCCTACCTAGAGACCTCACGGCCTGCCGTCCACACACCTCCAAATCCCAGCCGAAGCGCCCTTCCCCGAACGACGGAATTCTGCGACTCCGGTCTAGTCCCCAGTCCCTAGCGTAGCCCAATTTCTGGGACTCAGGCTTGCTACCATCCACAAGCCCCAACGCTCTTCGGGGGCCCAGCAGTCTGGCTCCCTCAGTCTCTCGTTCCTACCCCCGTCCCGCAGGGGCCGCGACTTCTCTTCTTTAGGGGGGCGGGGTCTCTCTCCCCTCTTGGCCTCGGCTCCTTTATCTGGCCGGGATGTCGGGGGCGGGGGTGGAGGTGGGGTGAACGCCTGGGTCTGTATCCTTCCTTCCTCCCTCGCTCTCCAGATGGCAAGCCCAGGGCGGGGTCTCCGTCTCGAGGGCGGGACCTCAGAAACCAGGGGTGGTCGTAACGTAGGGGGGCTTGGGTCACCGCAGGTAGACACGAGGACGGGGATGTTGGAATTGGGGAGGGGGTTAGGGATATCGAGGTTGGAAGTACGGGAGTCTGGCTCGTCGGAAGGCCTGGGCCCGGGAAAATCGGTGTGTTGGCTTTTGGGAGGGTTTGCCAGGAGCCAACCTTGGTTGCAGGACAAAGTGCGTACAGCAACCCCGTCTCCTCCTGTTTTACTGGGTTAGGGGAGAAAAGGGGGAGCCCAACGAGAGAGCAGGTTTGGGGAGGCGACAGTGGGCACCCGTGGGGTCTCAGACAGGGGGAGGGTGTGGTGTGAATGACAGGCTCCTCTACCGGGCCCTACAAAAAGGGGGGCTCGGCCGGGCGGGGTAGGGAGAGAGCGGATATGATTTCTAGTTGGTTTCCTTCCATTGTCCTGCGACCGGACGGCTCCGCCAGCTGCTTCCCCTCGAGGAGGTGGGGAAAGCCCCGAGGTGGGGGCGGGAGGGCGCGAGACGCTCGGGAGACCCAGGCGTCCGGCCTCGCTCGCTCCCGACTCAGGTTCTGAGTCCTCGCAGGGGACCCCGAGAGACGGAGTCCCGCCCAGAGCCCGCTCGCTCTCCCCCAGCGCCCGCTCCCGAGGGCCTCGGGTACCCGCCCGTCGGCAGCGCGGGGAGGCTGGCGGGACGCCGCGGTCCAGCGCGGCAAGTCGGCGAGGCTCGGCAGTGTGCGGCTCCGTCCACGAGGGGGCGGCCGAGCACCGGCCTCGTCTCCGCCCGGCCGGGGGTGCGCTGGGTCAGAGCCGGGCGCAGGATCCATTCGGTCTGGTCGGCTGAAAACCTTTAGCCTCCGCCCCTTTGCGCGGGTTTATTTTGCACCTCTGTCTCCTAGGAGGGGACTCGGGTTGGGCGGAGGGAGTTAGAGTTAGGAGACCGAGGGGACTTTCCCCTCAGGCTGGGGTTCCCACCCGAGGTGAGAAATCGCGGGCTGTGGGGGCCAGGGGAGTGGGTGAGACAAGGAGCGGGACCCGAACATGGAACTCCGGGATCTCTTTTCGAATTAAGCTAGACACTGCCACCCAGATGTCTTTGGAGGTGACTTTTAATTGAACATTAATATTAAAATTGGGTGGGGTAAACAAGAGAAGGGAAGACGACATGGAGGAGGGAGAGAGGGCAGGAGGGGGCTATCAGCCCTACTTTGAAGTCCCTGGTCTGAGAGATGGGCATGGATCACACCCTCATATTCCGTTTCAGGAGAGCTTGCGGGGAGGCAAGGAAAGGCTCACTGGGAGCAGGGGTGCGAGAGCTGAATCCAGCTGCAAAGCGGAAGCTTCACGGATATGGGTTGGGGAGAGTGTACAGTTGGCTAGGAACGACCGATCGTGGTCCGTGGGGCTGGGTATCAGGCCCGGGGACCCCCACTTCAGACCGGAGTGTGTTTTTATTTGAATGCATGAAAGAACAGCTGAGAAACCAGGAATTGGGGACCACTAAGGATTCAGGATGATGAGGTGGCTTTGACATGTGAGGGTTACTCGGGTCTCTGCCCAGCTTGGAGATGGGAATTAGACTAGGGGGTCCCTTGGGCATTAGGATGGAGTATTACTTGGTTGGTTAGTTGTGGGGTGGCAGTTTATTATGGGGTGTTGAGTTGATTTGATTGTTACGAGCACTGGTGGCTGCACCCAGCCTTTGAGGGCCTATACGGTAAATTTCAGATACGGAGCTGATTTTGAGGTTACATTCGTTCTGGGGGTTCTGACACCCAGAATTTAGAGAGTGTGCTCATCTGTGTCATCTTGGATTATCAGCAGAGCCAAAGTACTCATGCTGATTTGGGGGTGCAGTCTATTTTGGGGTGCCATCTAAGTCTCAAGGCTCAGATTAGATTTGGGGGACAGGAAATTCAATTTGGAGTTTAAAAAAATTAGTTTGAGGTAGAATATAGGAGGCTGGGAGCAGGTTCAAGGCTTTCTGTGATTGGGGGTCCGGGGAGGCGGGGAGCGAACTTTTATATTTGAGTCTTGTGGAAACTCACTTTGACGTGGCCTAGTCCTGTGTGTGCACGAATACCCAAGATGCTTTTTCCTGGGGGAGAAACAAGGTGCGGGACAGGAGGACAGGACACTAAAGTTCTGGGATGTCCTTATTTTTTGGGGGGTGGGGGGTTTATCACTCTGGATGCTTTTGGTGAAGCGAAGGAACAATCAAAATATGAGACTGATTTGGGGGTTCACTTAATTTGGAGCACGATCCTGGTTTGGGATGTCTTTTGCTTACAGTGCCCTCTCACCCCGAATTCTGGAAATTTCTTTAACGAACCCCCAAATAAGCCCAGGATTCGAAGGGAGAAACTTGGAAAGGGTGTGGTGTCTCCTTTTATTATTACGTGGCTTGAGGGAGAAGAGAAGGAGAAAAGGTTGTTTCAGACTCTGAACCCCGCTTTCTTAAGGGAGCACACCTTAGTTTGGGGGGAAGTTGAAGGAAAATGGGGTGTCTCTTGGCAAAGTGGACACCCCTGATCAGAGCAGTGCTGTTGGAACTGGGGCAAGGAGGGGTGCTGGTGGGGTACAGTAGGTGATTCTTGTACCCTAATTTTCTAGGCTGAGCCCCAAACAGAAAGCAGACAGAGGACTGGGAGTGTGGGTGAGATGGGGGGAGGGGTTCCCCCACGGCAGCCGGGGCTACAGGGTAAGCCAGGCCAGCTCCTCGCGCCTGGGTCCCTTCTCTCTTCGACTCTCCTCCCCTCTCTCCCTCCCACCGCCCACCCCCCCAACCCAAGAAAAAAAAACTGCCTGTGCAACAGCAATGGCAGATTCCAATCCTCCAGGCTTTCCTAAACCACCACGGAGACCAGCCAGGGGGGAGGGGAAGGGAGGATCGGGCTTTCCTGCTTCCTTAAGACAGGGGCAATGAGCTTGACCTCCTGGCCCCTAGCCCTTTGAAGAGTGCTTCCCCCGGTCTGGAAGCCAGGTGTCCTGGACCCTAGCCCCCGAGCGGTGGTGGTGGGGGGGGTGCTGGAGAGACGGGGAGGAGGAAGGAGGGAGTGACTTCCAAAATTGGCATCGGGACAGAGCAGGGCTGGCGGGAGGCAGGCAAAAGACGGAATTTTCCTGAAAAAACGGGGCTATCTGAGGACCCCAAATTTGGGGAGCTAGTCCAGGACCGTCCCCCCAACATCCTAGATTTTTTTGGGATTTTTTGGGGACCCCGGGACCCCTCTAGATAGGGTGAGGAATGTAGTGTTGGGGGAATCTGACTGGGGCATTGCAGCTGCCTCTCCCGCCGAGTTGGAGACGGATGGGCTGGGACGGGTTTTGGGGGGGGTGTCCCCAATTCTGACTGGGAGTGGAGGAACCCCTTCCTGAGCTCTCTTGTGGGGGTGCCCCCTCCCCAGGGCACTCCCCAGTCCCTGAGCCAGCCGAGAGGAAGGAGGCCAGCGATGCGACTGGGGCGGCTCCTTTCTCCTGCACCCCAAATGTGAGGGATGCACCCCAAATTTTGCTCTTTTCAAAATAGGGGACCAGGATCTCAGGGGAGAGTAGCTGAGGTAAGTGGGGAGGGAAGTGTCCTCTGTTTTCAGGAGACATGGCGGTTGGGGGGAGGTTTGGGGGTACGTGCTGGGGTGGGGTTGGGCTTTGTCAGTCTTGGAATTGGGGGGGATGATTGGAGAGGCTTTCTCTTACACCCCTAAACCGCAGTCCCCCAGACAGAAAGCAAAGGCTGAGACCAGAGAGGCCCTCAACATCCCCAGCCATTAGGATCGTGTTTAATTTCTCTTTCACCCCCACAAAGGCTCTGCCGACGTGGGAGCTGAGGGCAACTCTTAGTTTGGGGGCTCTGGAGGGTGGAGGAGGAGCAGGAGGCCTTGACAGAATTTGATGGACGACAAAGAGGGGTCTCGGGGAGGGGTCTGGCATCTTCGGGGGCCTGAAAAGACTGCTTACATACACCACCTTAGATCTTTCAGATGGCTCAGAGTTTTGGGGGGTGTGTCGGAAGAGGGGGTGGTAAAAGATGCCATGGGATATAGGAGGGTAACTTCTGGATTTTAGGGGGTACTATTTTGATGTGCAGAAGGGATTTTGGCCCTTGGATTTGGCTTTCCGAGGGACATTTTTAAAAAATCAAGTCCTGGACAGGAGAGAAGGGCTGAGGGAAGGCCTGGCGTTGGGGGTGGGGAGAGGCATGTTTGTCTCAGCTTAAACGTGGCTCTCTGGGGTGGGCCCGCCTGCCTTGGCCTGGTGGATGGGCTGATGGAGGTTGCTGTGGGGGCAGGCTCAGGTCCTGAGGGGCCCTGGGGAGTGGGAACAGCACTGGGGGTTGAATACCTGGCCCCCCAGGTCCAGATGGCCCTCTTCCTGGGTTCTGCTGCTCCCCTTCCCCCTGGTCTCCATTTCCTGCCTTTGGCCTCCATCTTGTGGCAGGCCCAGGGCCCAGGGCGACTTCCGGCCCCCCTCTCCCAACCATGTTCCGGCCCCACCACCTCTGGACTGCCAACTCCCAACCCTGCTGGCCTTGGCCCTCTGTCTCTCCTTGCTTTTCTCTTGGGTTCTGACCCAGGGAGGGGAGGGACGGACCCAGGAAGCCTTGGGTCCCTGCCCTTGCGGAGACAGGAGGCAGTCTGTTGGTCCCCCCAGTCATTCCCTGTTTCTTTTGCCTCTGACCTCACCCTAGAGATCCCCTGAGCTGAGTCCCTAGAGGGAAGATGGCCCAATCTTACTACACTGTGAGCTCATCCCTGTGGCCCCTCTCCTGCCAGTTGCCAGCTCAGCTCCTGTCCCTGGTTCCTCCCAACCGTTTTGGGGGGCCGTGTTTGCCTTTTAAGGCTTCTCCCTCCCCCTGCTCCTGCAGGTGGTGCTGGGGTCTTCCCGGGACTGCTGTGTGCTCTCTTCCTCTCAGCCCACCCGGTCCTGCTCCCGCCCCAGCAGCACACTGTGGTTTGTACGGCACTGTGGCCACGTCCAAACCACACTGTGGTGTTAGAGCGAGGGTGGGGGAGGCACCGCCTGGGAGGCCATCCTGGAGAAGTGACACAAAAAACATCTGGGGCCTTATGACAAACTTCTTGCCAGGTGGGGAAAGAGAGGGTGGGGTACGCAAGCACTGGAAACAGCCCCTCTAAAATCTTCGGGGCAGTTTCAAGAATACTGACGGCCAGAGACCCTGGGAGTAAGTTCTGCCTCTAGAGAGCAAAGTGGAGTCTTTGTTGCCCACACCCAGCTTCCCTGGCTCTAGCAGCACAGAAATATTGGCACAAGGAAGCAAGTCTGCCAATATTGGCTGTGCTGCTGCAGGCAGGGTGGCGAGAGCGACTGAGGAGGGGCTGAGCCCCTACGGGCCGAGGAGAGGGGACAGCCCTCTCCTGTTAATAATGTCAAGCAGGCAGCACGAAGCTGAGCGGGAAATCTTTATTATTTTCTGTATAAAAATGTCCCTCAGAGGAAGGTCAAAGGGGTTGGGGGCAGGTGCTCATGTGGGAGCAGCGAGGTGGCAGCCCGCGCAGCCTTTCAGCTCTCTCTCGCGCAGGCCTTGCTCAGAGTCCCAGGCGATCCACAGGTCTGGCATGAACAGTGAGAGGGGTCAGAGGAGGAAGCCTCAGCAGGAGAGGAGAGGAGGATCAGCAGAAGTCATGAGAAGGCCAGAATCCAGGGTCAGGCTGTCTGGAACAGGAAGTAAAGTGGGCCGAGATGGAGCGAGCCCCCAGTGTGCTTCCGAGGCCAGTCCCACCTCCCTGAAACACCCAGTTACGGACTGACCCAATGCCCTGTGCTGTGAGAGCACCTTCTCTTCTGAAAGCCCTATACAAGGGAGGGGCCCCTGTGGAGACCCTACCCGGCCATCCAGGTGAGCACTCTCTCCCCACCCGTCAGCTGTGTGGGACGAAGACTCCTACCCTGGTCAAAGTTGAGTTTCTTAGCTGGAGGAGTCTCTCCTAGCCCTTCAATATCCACCAGGTCACTGTTGGCGTCGGAGTCGTTCAGAGCACTGAGTGTCACATCTGGGAGAGGGACATAAGCTAGGTTCTAGGTTTCCCTGACAGCCTCTCCCCCGACCCCGAGCTTCCCAAAGCTTCGTGCCTCCCCTCCCCTCTGCCCCTCTCTGGGAACCTCCACAGGGACAGGAAGAGAGACTGACCCTTCTTTGACCCAGGCCCATTTCTCTCACTGAACCTCAGATGGGACCTTTAACCCCTAGGCAGCAACTCCACAGCCCTCACCAGCCTTCTGTTTCTTTATGGGGGGACCCCCGGCCTCAGGGACACTGGAGCTGCTGGGAGGAGGGGCAGCTGGAGGTGACAAGACACCAGATGCCACCTTCTTGGGCCCTTTCTTGGGTGACTCAGCTGGAAGGGGGATGCCAGAGTCTTCATATACCTTGCGTTTCACAGTGGCCTTTATCTGAGCTCTGCAGAAAAGACAGAAGAGGTAGTAGGTTAGGAGAGGAGTCATCAGAGAGACTAACAGAAGGGAGGGGAGAGGAAGGGGTTCTGGGAGTCCCTTCCTAAGCATCCAGGTCGGGGCCCCATCCAACCCAACCCGTTGGTAGGGTTCTCACGGTCCTGAAGCTTTGCACTCATTCAGGGTGGATGGAGTGTGGAGAGTGGAGTCCCTGAACTGAGTAGGGGGGACTCCGAATTCTCTTCTGGGAGAGACGTCAGGTAAGGCTGGGTGGTTTACAGGCGGTCGCGATTTACTGATCAACTAGTTCAGGATCATCATACCCCTGGAAACACTGTAGTAGGGTCCCCCCAAATTGATATAAATCACCAGGGACCTCCATCATCAAATACAGTAACTGAGCATCTCAGGCAACCTAAATTTCACATTCTTGGAAGGATTACCACAGCATTTTAGGAACTTCTGACCAACGGTGACAATTCCATTCTTTTTCAGTCCCCCAGGGGAGTCTAACAAAACTAGCAACGAAGTAGGGAGGCAGTTGAGCTGGAAAGGCGTTCTGAGGACGATGGAGCCTTGGGTAAGGAGGAAGAAGGCTGCCCACCCCCCTTTTTCTGGCAGCCACCCTCCCTCACACTGTCCGTTCCTTGATGACACAGCTGATGTGATTAAGATCGTCCCCAAATCGCTTCACAGCAGCCCTCAGCATCTCTATCTCCGTCTCCGTCCACTTCGCACTGTCAGAAGGGGAGAGGGGAGGGATAGCAAAAATGGGAGGAGGGGTGTGGGGCCGGCCCACAGGCTATGTGTCCCACAGCCAACCAGCCGCCTCCTCCCGACTTCTGGGACCCTGTCCACGGATGCATAAAGAGACCCTCCCTAGGGGAGGAGGAAAAGCTTTGGAGGCCCTGCGGGAACGGGGCGGACCCCAGTCGCAAATCCCAGTCACCTCCACCTTAGAACAGCCCTCTCCACCATCAACGTTCCACGGCTGCTGTACACGGCACGGCGCACTGAAACCAGCTCGCCAGGAGGGCACTTTACAGACGGGGCCTCCGAACGCAGCCGGCAGCCGTCTGGGGGAATTCCATGAACTGGGGTGGCTGGGAGTGGTGGCGGTTTGTGGTCGGCCCGTTCGCAGCAGGGAGAGCCGTGAAAGAGGAGTCTGGGCTGCGGGCCTGTGTTTTCATCTGTCATTCATTTCCTCACCCAGCGATCACTTAGTAACACCTACTCTGCGCTGGACTGGGCACAAAGGGAAGCTAACGTCTGTCCCTGTGCTGCAGAGGGTCCGCGTCTGCGACCGAGGCCGCGCGCCCGCTCGCGGCGTCCGCGTCCCGGCCCGGGCTCACGTACCCCGCAGGGGAAGAGTCGGCCACCGGATGCAGCTGCATCGTCAGCTCCCCGAGCTTCGTGAAGGCGGCGCCGGCGGCCGAGAAGATCTCTCCGACCTGGGGGCGGGGCGGCGTCACGGGGGGCCGGCGCCCGCCCTCCCCGTCCCGCCCGGAGCCCCTAGCCCCACCCCAGGCTCGGCTCTCGCCCGCCCCCCGCCCCCCGCCCGGGGCGGAAGAGCCACGCGCCAAGTGGGGGGCCCGCCCTCCCGTGGCCGCCAGGGAGCGCTGTCCGCGAGGGAGGTCGAACCTTGGTGGACGCTGACGTCATGGCCCCGCGCGCCTCCTCACGGAGACGCCGCCGCCGCCGCCGCCGCTACACGCGAGCCGGGACCGTGGACAGCCGGGAGACGGAGCGACTCGGGCCCGCGCGCAGGAAGTCCCGCCCGTCCCGCAGCGGATAGGCTGGAACCCGGCGGCTCCCCGCCCCTTCGGACGCGGGTTAGACCGCTCGGCGCCTCACTTCCGCGCCGCTTCACTCCACTTCCGCCCAGGGGTCGGGGCTCCGCCGGCCGCATCCGACCTCTCGCCGCAGCCCCGTGCCCGCCCCCACTCAACACAGACGCAGGGCTTCGGAGAGCGGATTCTCTTTATTGAGATTCGGGGCGCAGAGCAGGGTGGAGAGAGGGAACAGCCCTCTCCAAGGGGACCGATGCCGGGGGGGGGGGAGAGGGAGGGGTTCCGTCTCGCCCGGGAAACCCAGGCCCGCAGAGGGCGCCGGCAAGGGCGGGACGCGACCGGGGCCACGCGGTGCAGGGGGCGTTTAAATGGAGCAGGGGCCGGAGCGGGGAGGCGCGCCCGGGCTCTAGCGCACCATGTATTCCTTGCGCTTATTGAGCCGAACTTGGCAGAAAGAGAAGCCCCCGAGGAGGAGGTAAAGGCCCGCGGCGATGAAGCAGTTGTAGCTGACTTGCTCGTAAAGGTTGTATATGTTCTGGGGGCCATTCCTGGGGGAGTCAGACATTGAGAGCAGTTAACACCTGCCGAGCGCTCTGTGCCCGGCGGCGGTCTAGGCGCTGTCACGTGGATGACTTTATTCCGTCTCCCTGACCATCCCATGGGGTTGAGATCTGTCATAGCTGCCGTTTTGCAGAGGTGGACTGAGACGGACGGAAAAGTACGATACCTAAAGACGCCACACCTAGAGTGGTGGGTTTGGGATGGCCGCCGCGGTCTGACGCCCTGGCTCCTAACCACGTTCTCAAGAAAGCAGCTGTCCTCTCCCAGTTGTCTCCCCTAGGGGCCCAGATCGTCCGGCCTCGCCTCCTCCCACCCGACTACTTACTCAAAATCTTTCTCCGTGAAGGGAACGTCCTCAATCAACACAGCGGAATGGACATTGAAAAATATTCCGAGCATGATCTGGAAAAGGGGGAGTGGGTAGGTTGTCGAATTCAGGCACCTGCCCTCACGTTCGTTTCGTAAACCCCTCCCATTTCTCATGTTGCTACAACAGCCGAGCCTGAGACGAACCAAAACGAGGTGGTGGTTCCTGGATTCGGACTCAGCCACCCGGAACAGGGCGTGAGGTGGTGACACGGAGACAAGGGTAGGAATAGGGTGACCAAGCCATCTCTCCCAGGAACCCAGCGGATCGTCCTCCCTGGAGGCGCCATCATCACGGGACAGTGCGGAAGAGGGGAGGGAGGGCCGGCACTTCTACGAATTCATTTCTTCGTGAAGTGGCGGTGGGTGGATTACTGGGGAAACAAGGCCCAACTACCCATTTCTAAAACGAGCGCTCTCTTCCCCCCCCGCCCCGTCCTCCATTCAACTCAAGCACCTCTCAGGAACCCCGCTCTTGTTTCTCCTGTCTTGAGGGGTCTCCACATTTACCAGCCCCAGCCCCTCCCACTCCAGGGCCCTTGGCTCCAGTTCCCATTTTCCGATCTCTGTCTCTTCCTCCGGGGCCAGTTGATCCCGGCTCCTTCGGCCTGCCTGCGGCCCAGAAGGTCCTAGCTCCCAGCCCGGAGCCCCTCAGGCCCTCTCGGATCCTTGCCGGGGAGCCCCCTCACCAACATGATAACTCCCCAGGCGCTGAGGACGATGCCGCAGGCGGCCAGCTTCGGCCCGCAGCACAGGAGCGACGCCATGAAGAAGGGAGTCGGAGCTCGCCAAGGTGCAGGCGGTCTGGAACAGCGGTGGGAGAAAGCCCAGGATGCGTTCGGCGGGCTGCAGAGGGGGCGTGGCCCCGGCCTCAACCATCCCGCCCGGGGGTGGCAGTCGGACAAGGCTGGGCTCCTCTAGGGACTTTCATGGGAGATGGCGCCGGCTGAAACCGACACAGCTTCTGTGAAAACCCTTCTTGACCTCTGTAGCTGGGGCGTGAGTACTGGAAGAGCGAGGGCTCTTGGTCCCCGGTTTCTTGGTCCCCCTCCACCTGCGACCGGGAATGGAAGGAGCTGGCGTGTCACGTGACCAAGTCTGGCAAGTCACGTGACGAGGAACTAGCACTAACCAGGCCTTGGGGGAAAAATGCTAACTGGTGGAGCTCCTGGTAACTGGGGCGATGGGGTCTTAGGATCGGAGGATTGGAACCGTCTGATTTTTACGTCTGATACTTTAGTCTCGGGTTCTCTCCTGTGTTGGGAAAATGGTAAGTGAGACGGATTTTCACCAACAGGGAGCGTTTCTATCTCTTCTTTACTCCTCCCTTTAAAAAAATCGAGATTCTGACAGTATAAAGGAGTTAGGATCCCCTTCTGGTGTGGCGAGAACGCTTTAAAATTACTGAGAGTTCTTAGTATTGGAATTTTTTTCTCCTAAGTAATATTTTATCATCACATTTGAAATACTGTAACTCTAGATGCCAGATCCAGGAAAAATGGGCGGTTAGGAAAAGTCCAGGGAAAGCAGACTATGAGCTGCTTGTGAAGGTGAGCAGTTCTGTTAAGTATACAGAGATGTCACTTGGCTTCTCTACTTTAAACTAGGGAAACTGATGATAGGTCTCTTGAATAACGTAGAACACAACATTAAAAAATACAAATAGGTTGTCCCCTCCAAAAAAAAAAAGCTGTTTGTATACTTAACTGGTGAGTGACAGATCTGTAATAATTATTTAGAAAACAGGAATGTCGAGGCGGGCGTGTCACTTGAGGTATGGAGTTCGAGACCAGCCTGGTAAATACGGTGAAACCCCGTCTCTACTAAAAAATCCAAAAATCAGCCGGTGTGTTGGCGCGTGTGCTTGTGATCCCAGCTACTCGGGAGGCTGAGGCGGGATAATCGCTTGAACCCGGGAGGCGGAGGTTGCAGTGAGCCGAGATGGGACCACTGCACTCCAGCCTGGGCGCAGAGGGACACACATACACACACACACAATTTTGCACTGAGCAAGTTGTACCCACTCTAATGAGGACAATGACCTCAGAATAATTGAGAGGGATCATTTGACCCTGAAACCCCACGACCAAACAAGGAAACACTGTCACTGGCTAGAATAATTTTGTAGTTCTTATTTATTTTGTGCATATTGTTCTTAAAAGGCTTGCAAAAGAGAACTTGGAATGTGGGAAACAAATAGATCCTAGAGTGTTAAAGGGGCTGGGAAAGTAGCCTTGAAACGAAGTATATGCTTCTCACCTGCGACAGTCTGGGCAAGGAAGCCGTTTGGCGGCTGTGGTCTTTATTCTGTCCTAAAAACACTATTCTTACTCAGACACTTTTGAGGTGCATGGGTGAATAGGAAAAATACGAGTGGAAGGAAATTGCCAAAGAATAGAGCCAGGAATCTGCTGGCCACCAGGCATGAAGCTGAGGTGGTTGGTTTTTCTAAGAAATCCCCCTGCTTCATGATCTTGGATGTTTTGGAAGCAGGGTCAGGGCCTCCAGCTAGTGCAGGGTTCAAGGGCCAAATCCAGTCTGTAACCTGCCTGTTTATGTCTCAAACAAAGCACATTTGTTTGTTTGTGGATTTTATTTTTTTTTTTTTTTGCATTTCAAATGGTTGAATAAACCAAAAGAAGACTATTTTGTGATGTGAAATTCATCTCTCAGTGTCCATAAATAAAGTTTTATTGGAACACAGTCATGCTCATTTACATATTGCCTGTGGCTGCCTTCATGCTGCAGCAGGAGAGCTGAGTCGTTGACAGTGACTATGTGCCCTGCAAAGCCTAGAATATGATCGAGCTCAGGCGTCCCCAAACTACGGCCCGCGGGCCGCATGCGGCCCCCTGAGGCCATTTATCCGGCCCCCCGCCGCACTTCAGGAAGGGGCACCTCTTTCATTGGTGGTCAGTGAGAGGAGCACAGTATGTGGCGGCCCTCCAACGGTCTGAGGGACAGTGAACTGGCCCCCTGTGTAAAAAGTTTGGGGACGCCTGATCTAGCCTTTGCAGAGAAAGTTTACTGCTCCCCTGGGCTAGTGGGATACTAATGTAGGGAGTTTAACTGGGGGAGGAAATAGAGCCTTAGCAGCAGAGACTTCTGGAGAAAGTATGAAATTCAAGATAGAAATGTCAGTCCTAAAGCCGATGTGAAGTCTTGCAGGTGGGGTCACTATAGGGCTCAGATAGTGACACTGTTCTCTATGCAGCTGGGCTTCAGATATTCATAGGGCAGGTCAAGTTGCTCATTCCGGGCTGTAATCTCCTTTTCCAGGTTTTCCAAATCTGTTCGGAATTGGTTTAGCACAGCTTTGGGCTTGGGGCCTGAGAAATATTTTTCTTTGTGATGCCCCAGAGGCACCTGAGACAGAACAAAGGGCTCATCAGTCAGTTTCTAAAGACAATCAAACCTAGAGCCAAGACCCCCATTCCGATGTTTCCTTCTAACTCATTTCTCTCTCCTAAGAGTCCCCTCTCACCATGTCTGGCTGGCGGCGACCCAGATGCCATGTGATGGTCATTTGAAGACAGGCCTGCCGGACATCAGGTAGTGACCCCATCACTGTGGCCATTGTCACGTCTTCCTTGGTGGTGGGTGGGGGCATCCGCATTGTGCCTGGGGCATTAGGAACCCAGGCGTACCAGTCCAGCTGGAGGAAGGAACTGTAACACTAGAACACTGGTACTTAGGGTTTGAACTCCCGTCTCTCCCTCAGACCTCCCAGGCGCCAGACCCTTGCCCTCAGGGACCTGGACTTTCAGCTGTCCATACCTGGCCCTGGTTGATGGCTGCATGCTGGGCAGTGCACGTGAAGATGCACATGGTGAGGAAATGGCAGAGTTGACCCTGGGACTGGAAGGAGACGGGGAAACCTGTGCAGGAAAGGAATTAGAGTTAGAAGCCACGGCATAAGAGGAGAGAAACAAAGGCTGATGTTTTGGGACGCCCATATTTTAGAATTGATGAGTATTTGTTCGTTTTATTTAGATATAGTTGCATCAGACGTGGGTTTGAGTCCTGGCTAAATCACTTACACTTGGTTACCATAGGCCACTTACTTAACCTCTTCGAACTTAAGTTTTTTCACCTGTGAAATATTGGCGATAGCTATATTGAAAAGGAGATGATGTATCAAAATCACCTGGTAGGTAATACATGCTCAATAAGTAATAATTATTGTTATTATGGAAGGATTGGGGGCTGAAAAATTCTGAGTGACCAAATATTCCTTGCCTCAAAAAGTGGTTAAGAATTGAGGATGCATGGCCGGTGACTCATGCCTGTAATCCCAGCCCTTTGGGAGGCCAGGGCATGAGAATTGCTGGAAGGCGAGTGACAGAGCAAGACCCCGTCTCCATTTAAAAATTAAAAAATAAAGAAAGAGAGAATAGAGAATGCTGACTCCTATTCCTGGACAGAATGACAAGTCTCTGTGTTAAATGAGGCGGGGAACAGAAGTCATGGATTTCCAGTGTCACAGCTAAGAGGGGCTCTCGCAGGGGTTATCTCTGGCCACTCATGTTACAGTGGATGTGGGGGCTCAGAGACTGATAATTTTTTTTTTTTTGAGACAGACTCTTGCTCTGTTGCTCAGGCTGGAGTGCACTGTCACCATCTCAGCTCACTGCAACCTCTGCTTCTCAGGTTCAAGTGATTCCCCTGCCTCAGCTGCCCAAGTAGCTAGGATTACAGGTGCCTACCACCAAGCCTGGCTAATGTTTGTATTTTTAGTAGAGACAGGGTTTTACCATGTTGGCCAGGCTGGTCTTGAGCTCCTAGCCTTAGGTGATCTCCCCACCTCAGGAGAGTTCTCCCAAAGTGCTGGGAGACCCGATAATTTTATCAGTTAATTGGAATAAATATAATTACTCTCATTTTATAGAGAAGAAAAATCAAAGCCCATAGAGAATAAACTGTCATGGAGGCTAGTTGGAAAAAAGCAGAGGCTGACCTTGAACTCAGGTTCCTGACTGCTAATCCCATGCCATTTTAAATTTTAGTACACTGCCTCTAAAACGTCTGTTGGGAAAATTAGACAAAGGTGGGCTATATGAGCTGAAAGAGGACGGGGGAGGGCAGTTAGTGGAGGTTAAAGTTAACGTGTGCCAGGAACTGAACGTCTTTGGCTCTTCTTATATTGAAATCTAAACCCCATTGTGATGGTATTTGGAGGTGGAGCCTCTGGGAGATAATTAGGGCATGAGGGAGCAGCCCTCCTGAATGGGTTTAATACCTTTACGAGTGGAGGACAGAGTGCTAGTTTGCTGTCTCTCTGCTGTGTGAGGATACAAGGAGAAATTGGGTGTCTGCAGCTTGGAAAAGGGGCCCCCAGAACCTGATTTTGGACCTCCAGCCTCCAGAACTGCGAGGAATACATTTCTGTTGTTTATAAGCCCCCTAGTCGGTGGTGGTTTTTCGAGACGGAGTTTCGCTCTGTCGCCCAGGCTGGAGTGCAATGGCGCGATCTCGGCTCACCGCAACCTCCGCCTCACAGGTTCAAGCAGTTCTCCTGCCTCAGCCTCCTGAGTAGCTGGGACTACAGGTGTGCGCCACCATGCCTGGCTAATTTTTGTATTTTTAGTAGGGACGGGGTTTGACTGTGTTGACCAGGCTGGTCTGGAACTCCTGACCTCATGATCCCTCCACCTTGGCCTTCGAAAGTGCTGGGATTACAGGTGTGAGCCACCGCGCCCCACCAGTGTTTATAGTAGTCCAAACTGGCTAGGAGCCTAAGGGACAGTACAGAGAAGAACTAGAGAGAATTTGGTTCTGGAAGGGTGGGGTGGCACACCCAGCTTCCCCAGGGAGAGGCTCCCTCCAGGCTAAGGATGTTTGCCACATTCCCAGGATTGGCCATAAAGGCTCCCCAGTAAATGTCTGTAGTTGTCCCACAGAGGTGGAGGATGATATTCAAGGCCGGGTCTGAAGTGTGAGAGGGAGAGGCTGAAGGATGAGTGACAGCAGTCCATGCTGGTGCCTGTGTGATAAGCTTAAGAGCTCAGCAAAGGGTATTTCTTCCTCAAAGGTTCAAATGTAGGGAGTGAGGGTTGACTAAAGGTAGTGGCGATTCTAGCCAGGGGGTGGTTAGGGAGGGAGGGTTGGGTTAGCCGAAGAAATCTGAGCCCCTAGGATCAGGGTGCTGAATTTGGGTTTGAGGCAAAGCATGTATAGTATTGAGCTTACATCCAGAGCTGACCTTGTACTGTAGCAGGTGTGCAGTATCCCTGGACCCTCTGGGTGTGTTGGACAGTAGCAGGTAGGAAGAGAGGGAGGGAAAGCCAGGTGGGTCATTGGGGACTTTGGAAGGAAAATCTTCCCACTTAACGTCCTCAGGTAGGAAAACAGGGAACCATCAAGAGAGACTGTGAGCCCAGAGGGACTGTGTAGACCCCTCATGGCTGTGGCTTTAGCCTGGTGGGTGCCAGGATATGGCAGCTCAGGGGCATCTGTGACGGGTGGGGTGGGACTAGGGTTTGATGGCCAGGATCTCCGAGGAGGACGGTCCTTGGGTCTCTAGAATTGTGCTGAGTCTGAGGAGGTGGGAGTGGGATGCATATGCTTGCCTGTGTGGAGGGAGGGAGGTGTGATGAGGGGCTGGGGTCCTGTCCCAGAAGGACAGGGCTGAGAAGAGGCCCTGGCAGAGTCTCCCCAGAGCTTCTGTCTCTGGAACGGATCTTACCTCGGTCCTGGGCCTGGCACAGCCCCACCTCTGTGATCTCCCGACACCAGGCTTGCAGCTCAGGGTCCCCACTCACCACGTCATCTCCTTGGTAGAAGAGGTGGACTATCCCCTTCACATACCTGCCCGGGGGAGAAGGTGCTTGAGCCTCTGAGAGCAGAAGGCCCTGGCCTCTGGCCCTCTATTCTTTCTGTGGCATCTGCCCAATGCTTCCATAGTATCTAGGAAGAGAGCTTGCCTTGGGACATCCCCAGCCCTCTGCACACACTAGCATCTCATGGAAGCAGATGTGGGTCCTTACTTTGGGAATTTGCAGGGTTGCTGTCATACATCCTCAGAAAATCCTGATTTTTTTCAGACCCCTCCCATTCTCCCCCAACAGTTCCCCTCACCTCCTCGCTCTACCCCATCCCAGTCTCCTCATTTTCAGAACCCACCATGTCCTCACTGTTGTTCATCTCTCCCCAGGATTGAGTTCTCCGCTTCTCCTGTCTGGACCTTCTAATTTTCTCATTGCTTTTGTCCCATGCTGGCCTCAGGCCAGAGGCCCCCTTTTCCCCATTACTCAGTTCCTCCTTACTCACCTGGCAATGATCTCCCAGAGCCGTAAAGCGTCGTGGGCATAGAGAGCACTTGGGAGTCCCAGTAGGCCCCGGCCAGCCAGGTCGTCAGGAGGACAGAGTGAGCGGTAGGTGAGCTGAGCCGTCGCGCGACGGATCAACTGGATGTGGCCCCCTCCACCTGTGTTCGCTGCCTGGGACAGGAGATGACAGGTCTTAGAGGGGAAACATCACATCTTCCATAAAGCAGGGCAGATGTGGGATTTCCAGATATTCAGACATGGGTATAAAAGGGACAGGTTCATAGGTTAAGAGTGAGGACACTCCCACGTGGTGGGTCTTGTATCCTGAAAGTGTCAGCTCATGGAGAGATGGGTGAGGCAGTCCCATGCCTTGTACCCTTCTCACCTTATCAAATATTCCTCCATCTGAGATGAGTTGGGTCCGGGCCCGGGTGTTGATTTCCATGGTGTAGCGGATATGGGGGATCAGGAGCTGGGGAGGAGGAGATTGGAGGGCATGGCTAGTGGAGGCCATGCTTGGGTCCTTCCTGATAGGGCCTGGCACCCAGCATGGCGCTTTCTCCTCTTGCCGCTTTCCTTGACAGGCTGGTCTCCTGCTGCTCTGATCATTCACTCTTGTGCTCTCCAATTTCCCAGTGAGTTGGGCTCTGGACCCAGGCTGACCAGAATTTTAACCTACACTTTACACCTCATTTTAATCTGTAATCTCTTCATTTGTCAACAGAGGGCAGTAATAGACTCTCTTATCTCAGGGGCGGTGGTGATGCTCACCTAAGTGATGGATGGAGAGTGTTCTGTACACACAGGAGTCCTGGAATAGTAGCTGTCCTCTTCCTTGTTTTCACCTTGAATATAGGGGTCTTATGAATCAGCCCCTTGTGATTTTCTTTGCTCCCTCCTCTGTCATTCACATTCTCTTAAACTAGCCTCTCTACTCATTAGCAAAGCTGCATCTCCATCTTTTAGTTGGTTCAGAGCTGGGTTTCTTTAGGGGACGGGTGGGGAGAGTACTTTTGGTCAGAACTAGAAGACCTCCATTCAGTTACCTGCTTTTTTCTTTTTGAAGCGGAGTCTTGCTCTGTCACCCAGGCTGGAGTGCAGTGGGACGATGTCAGCTCACTGCAACCTCCGCCTCCTGGGTTCAAGCAGTTCTCTGCCTCAGCCTCCCGAGTAGCTGGGGTTACAGGTGCCCGCCACCACGCTCAGCTAATTTTTGTATTTTTGGTAGAGACGGGGTTTCACCATCTTGGCCAGGCTGGTCTTGAACTCCTGACCTCGTGATCTACCTGCCTTGGCTTCCCAAAGTGCTAGGATTACAGGTGTGAGCCACCACACTTGGCCTCAGCTTCTTGCTTAAGCAAATCTTTCCCCACCTCTACTTAGGCACTGTTGGGTCCCTCTTCTGCTTTTCCTTAGCTATTAAAAAGAGGCCACCTGATCCTTAACATGCATTTTTTTTTTTTTTTTTTTTGAGACAATGTCTTGCTTTGTCACCAGGTTGGAGTGCAGTGGCGCGATCTCGGCTCACTGCAAGCTCCGCCTCCTGGTTTCAACCGATTCTCCTGCCTCAGCCTCCCAAGTAGCTGGGACTACAGGCATGTGCCACCACACCCAGCTACTTTTTTTTGTATTTTTAGTGGAGATAGGGTTTTACTATGTTGGCCAGGATGGTCTCGATCTCTTGAACTTGTGATTTGCCTGCCTCGGCCTCCCAAAGTGCTGGGATTACAGGTGTGAGGCACTGTGTCTGGCTCTATTTCTTCTTCTTCTTCTTCTTTTTTTTTAAATGTTAAAATGTTTGTCTTCCTTTCCACATAGTTAATACACAGGTTTCAAGCAGTTTTGGTGTTTGTCTGAATTGTTGATGCTGGATGCTGGCAATGACCCAAGTGATACTTTTGGTGTTAAGATATCAAAGCAGCTCAAATTAATCTGAAGCTTTTCAGAAGATTCATGAAAGATGCCAAATGTCACCAGAAGCTGAAAGTCCACATGAGGAGAGATGCCTAAGGATGAACAGTCCCTCATAGTAATAATTGCAAGAACTAGCTGGGTGAGGTGGCATGTGCCTGCAATCCAGGTTACTTGGGAGGCTGAGGCAGGAGGATCATTTGAGCCCAGGAATTTTAGACTAGCTTGGGCAACATATCAAAACCCTATCTCTACAAAAAATAAAAAAAATAATAGCCAGGCATGGTGTAGTCCCAGCTACTCTGAAGGCTGAGGTTAGAGGATTGCTTCAGCCCAGGAGTTTGAACCTGCAGTGGGTTATGATTACACCACTGAACTCTAGCCTGGGTGACAGAGTGAGAACTTGTCTTTGAAAAAATATTGCAAGGCCAGGTGTGGTGGCTCATGCCTGTAATCCCAGCATTTTGGGAGGCCAAGGCGGGCAGATCACCTGAGGTCGGGAGTTCGAGACCAGCCTGACCAACATGGTGAAACCCCATCTGTACTAAAAATACAAAAATTAGCTGGGTGTAGTGGTGAGTGCCTGTAATCCCTACTACTCTGGAGGCTGAGGCAGGAGAATCTCTTGAACCCGGGAGGCGGAGGTTGCAGTGAGTCGAGATCATGCCACTTCACTCCAGCCTGGACAACAGAGTGAGACTCCATCTCCAAAAAAAAAAAAAAAAAAAAAACCCCAAAAAGGCAAGAACTAATGTTTTTTGTAGCATTTAGCTTGTGTCACACTATTAAGTCGTTTTAACCTTTAACAACCTCACGATGGAACATGTGAGGACATCTGGAAATTATTGAGGCCAGGATTCAGGACTGAGAGACCCCAGCAGTCCAAAGCCAGAGGCTGCACAGGCCACTGTTAGGACATCTGCAGACTTAACCGTCATGTGCATCCACCATCAAGTCAGCCATCTGCCAGGGGATGGCATTACTGTGGTGAGTGGAGACAGCGAGAGGGCTGAACTAGGAAAGGGAACTGGGTGAACAGAGGCTTCAGTTGTTCAAGTGGAGCAGAGGATGGGGACACAGGAGACAGCTTGAGATGAATTAAATCCAAGGTGCCATTAATCGGGCTGGTCTCCATCTTGTCTCTGTTACCAAGGGGTTCACTCCAGAGGTGGCACAGCTATACTGGCCAGGCCCGGGGGATCTGGGTGGAGGCCCCCAGCTGAAACACAATTCAGTTGTTTTTACCCAGGACTCACTTGTGTATCTTACCAATACATCAAACTCCATGTTCCTAAAACAGAACACCTCATTTTTGCTGACTCTGGCTTGTTCTAACTTTACTGTTTCTGACAATTACTCTGGTTTGTAAGCCTGTATCATTTTTGTGCCCCCTCCGCTAAGTTCCTTATATGTAAAGTATCGTCAAGATTTTGAGAACTTTTTTTTAAAGCAAACACAGGTCTTATTTTGCTTTCTCCCTGGCAGTATATACTGAACTCACTGTTTTATAAAATTACAGTACTTATTAAATTTTTTTTTTTTAATCTAGAGACTGGGACTTGCTATATTGCCCACGCTGGTCTTGAACTTCTGGTCTTAAGCGATCATACTGCTTTGGCCACCCAAAGCACTGGGATTACAGGCGTGAGCCACCACACCCAGCTCTAAAAACCACAGCATTTCTAGGTTAGTACAGCACACCACCCCATGGACTTACAGGTGTGGCAGAAGCTTGTACTGATGGCTTTTCTCTGTCTTGCACCCAGGCACGCTGCGGCTCCTGTTTCCTCTACTACGTTTTAGGTTTTACCTTTTCGTTCCTGTCATTACCATGCTAGCGTACATCTCTATCCACCTTACTGTTGGGCAGGTGCGAGCGGCTTGCTGGCTGCTCTTCCTTGCCTTTTGATCTGTTTTTACTTAGCTGACTCCTCAGTTGGGGTAAAACATTCTTCGTGAGTACTAGACTGTTCTAGGCTGTCTCATGTGATTTCAAACTCTAGTACCAGATACCGTTCTCTGGCTCTTACGGGCTAACTACGAGATCTGTTTTCCTGGTTAAATACTAAATCTAAGGTAGGAATGCGGCTTGGGTTTTACTAGTATTCAAGCCCTACTGTGAGCGCACTGCTAGACTGTCAGATCTCAGAATTTCAGAGGGTTCCTGTAGAATGTTAAGTGACTAAACTTAATTAAAATAAGCTTAATTAAATCAACATCTCAAGATATTGATACAGTCTTGTCTTCACTCACAAATTGCTACAAAGAGTTTTGGCTGCGGCAATGTCATTTGACATTAGGCTGTTCCTCTCTCTGGGGTCTGAGGGCTATGTGATGTAATAGATTAATAAGTAAGTACCTTGAAGATGGGATGCAGTCCTGGGAGGCACCGCATGGTGGCGACAGCGATGACCTCAGCCACCAGATGAGTGTTCAGCAAGTGATACTGGAGCTGATGCAGTTGGAAATCTGAATTTCGGACCCAGGACTTTGCCAGGAGCCAGGCAAGTGGGGGATCTGAGGGCAGGAACAGTGTTGGGGTTGGGGAGCTGGGGTTGGGAGGCTGAATCTGGGAAAAAGAGAAATGATTGAAGTCCCATTCTGTATATGACATTGTAGTCAGCATTTTTGGGGAAACATGACTAAGTGAGATTGCCTTCTAGGAGGCTGTAGCCTAGTAGGACTGTGACCGCTCCCAGGCTGCCTCTCGCTAGCTGTAGTGCCCTGATGTCAGGTGGAGTGCAGGTGAGACTGGGAGAAGGGAGTCCAGAAGGAGGCCTTCACAGTGGCGTGGGGGAAATCCCGTTGGTCTGGGGTTGGCGCTCACATGGTGGTGGAATGTGAAGGAGAAGCAGGAGGTGTGAGATTATTGACTGTTCTTGTCAACTGACTGTTAAGAATAGTTAGAGAAGGCCAGGCGTGGTGGCTCACATCTATAAGCCCAGCACTTGGGGAGACCGAGGCGAGCAGATTACTTAGCCCAGAAGTTCAAGACCAGCCTGGGCAATATGGCGAAACCCTGTCTCTACAAAAAATACAAAAATTAGCTGGGTGTGGTGGTGCATGCCTGTGGTCCCAGTTACTGGGGGGAGGCTGAGGTGGGAGAATTGCTTGAACCAGGAGGCACAGGTTGCAGTGAGCCGAGATCACACCACTGTACTACAGCCTGAGTGATAGAGTGAGATTCTGTCTCAAAAAAAAAAAAAAAAAAAAAATTGAGAGAAAAGATATTCAAGAGATGGTGAGGGTTCAGAGTCAGAGGCCACTGAGAGATTAAATAGTGATTCTCAAAGTCTGGTACTGATCTGGTAGTATCAGCATCACTTTGGAACTTATAAAAATGCAGACTCTCAGTTCCCATCCCAGACATAACTGTATTAGAGAGTCTGGTCATGGGACCCAGAAACCTGCATTTCACCAAGCACTTCAGGTGATTCTGATGCATGCTGAAGTTTGAGGACCACTGGATACGGGACGAGAACTCCATGAGGCCATTTTGACTCTTGAACAAGTACTTCTAGTTGGGTGAGTCAGGAGAGACTAGGGTACAGGCCAATAGTGTGACATGAGGACAGGTCTCACTGAGTGAGGATGGGGTTTAGGAGCCAAGAGCCAGGGGGCTGGGTCCCTGGGAGCAGAGATTGAGATGAACAGAGCAGTGTTGTGGGGGAGGCCCAGCGCCCTCACCTGGATGACCATGGGCAGCAGCTTCCCACTGGGCTCCATCTTCAGCATGACAAGGGGGGCAGCTAGGTACTGCTTCTCTCCTTGGATCACGTTGGTTGGAATTCCATCCAGTAGGATGAAGTCAACTTCAAACAGGGAACCATTCTGGGGATAGGAGGGGTGTATCCATTTCTAGAATGCAAAGTCTCCCACCACAGGGCCAGGGCAAAGGGCAAGACTTTTTTTTGTTTGTTTGTTTGGTTTTTTTTTTGGAGACTGAGTCTTGTTCTGTTGCCCAGGCTGGAGTGCAGTGGTGCAATCTCGGCTTACTGCAGACTCTACCTCCCGGGTTCAAGCAGTTCTCTGCCTCAGCCTCCCAAGTAGCTGGGATTACAGGCACCCACCACCACGCCTGGGTAATTTTTGTATTTTTAGTAGAGATGGGGTTTCATCATCTTAGCCAGGCTGGTCTTGAACTCCTGACCTGGTCATCCACCCACCTCGGCCTTCCAAAGTGCTAGGATTACAGGTGTGAGCCACTGCACCTGGCCAGGGCAAGACATTTAGTCTAGCTTCTTGGCATTCTCCTGCGTCAGTTCCAGGTCCTGCTGGGAGAACTAGAGCACCTGGTCCAGGTTCCCTCATCTTAAAATGAAGGAACAGCCTGGTGACGGTAGATGCCTTGTGTGTGGATGTGTGGTCGCAGATCTGGGTTTGGAACCAGGCCTGCTCAACCCAGTTGGCATCACAGGCATTGTAAACTGACCCCTTGTCAAAGGCCAGGCCCCTTTCTGATCATCCCCGAATGGTCTGTGCTCTGGTTTTGGCTGCCGTCAGCTCAGCAAATGCTCTTCCATTCCCTATTCAAATCTCATCTCCTCTGCCAAATATTTCAGAGGGCTTCTCCCAGCTACCCCTGCCACTGCACACGGCACACACATGCACACGCACACATTCTACCCTGGCTTGTCCTTCCCAGCACAGTCCATTGCTTCCAAACCCCACCTTCTTTTTCTAGAAAGCATCCCCAATTCTCCCCACCTGATGGCTCTTTCACCTTTCTCCTTGCCCATGAGCACTGGAGTCCAGAACACCACAGCCAGGGAATGTCACTGTTCCTGCTAACATCTCCAGCCTCTCTCTGCGTGCTAGGGACCCATTCTGTTTTCCCCTTCATGCTGGGAGCTCCTCATAGTTTTTTCCCCTACATATCTTATTTCTGTATTTTTCCAGCACAAGACTGCACCAAGGGGCAGCATAGTACTGCAGCCTTCCTTCCTCTGAGTCAGTTTGGTTTCTCTCTGTCCATTCTCACCACACTACTAAGGAGAGAACAGTGCCAGGCAGGAGAAGGGGAGGTACCTGAAGTTCTCTCTCCAGCTGAGTCCGAAGCTCTTCCATCCCTGAGGGCAGCACTAGCCTGGAGGGCAGAGAGGCCGAGCGTCTCAACAGCATGGGGTTGGCACCGTTGAGGAACTGGTAGCCAAATAGCTCATCGTCCTGCCAGCACTGGTGAACCTTCTCTGTGGTGGGCGGGGGAAGGAGGACATATGTACCACAGCCTGCATATCCTTCGCCTCCAGAGTCTACCCCAGGGATTCAGGCATATGGGCCACCCTGAACCCAGCTTCTGTGTTTTCATTCTCAAGGCCTCTCTGAGTTGACCGGACATGATAAAGTCTCTTCTTGCAAGGACTTACAGGAGACTGTGGAGAGTGACGGGTCATCCAAAGGACCCTTTAAGGGATTATGGAGGTCTAGGGGAAACACTGACCAGCCAGGGTACTCTTCTGGCCCCAGAAGATCTGATCGAAGTCGTCTAGGCAGTTCCAGGAGCTCAGGAAAGTGTAAACACGTTTGAGGACCGTCTCCAGAGCCCTAGGACAGGGATTGAGCTAACTCATCAGCCGATCTCTTGCTCCCTCACCATCTCCCATCATTCATAGACCTCCCAACCCTTATTCCACTCTGAGGTCCAGCCTTTTTCTCACCCTGCCTTCAGTGTCCATTCAAAGTCCAGCCTCTTCTCCTCATGGAATCTCATATTTGGAGGTAGATCATCCCTAGAGTCTGCAGCTATGGTCAGGGGTAACCCTTCCTTCCAGGTGGCCCAGCTATGAGTTGGGGACAAAGCTTCAGGAAGGATGTCATGGTCAGTGATGGGGGCAGGGTCAGGGAAGGGGTGGGACAATGAGTGGGGGAGTTTAAGGGGCGAATGGTCACCAATAGATCTGCTGTCTGTCTTTCAGTTCCTTCTCTCGATGCTTCTGGAACACGTCCAAGGCATTGTCTCCTGGCAGGCGGGCTGGGGAGACATCAGGACAGTTGGCCACATGGCACTGTCTGGTCCTGTGCCCACCTCTTGTCCTCGTCCCCCTGTGGGTAGCCGTATTCCATGTTTTCAGTCTTGCGCGGTGGCTTGTATCTCTGGCTTTGCCTCATTTGATTATCCCCCAGACACATTTATCCCATCTTTGCCAACTTTGCACTCCTGCCTTTTCTTATTTCAGCCCTCATCCTTTGCCTATAGATAAAATCTTTGTTTGCCACCTTCACTCGTGCGTGCTCCTTCACTCATCTTCCCCAACCTGGCCTGATTTCATCAATGTCTATGGTTGGAAAAAAATCACCTTAATTAAGGTGATGAAATCTTAGTCACCTATATGCCTACGCCTACTGTCTACTACAAAATGCTTTGATTGATTTCACATCTTAAACCTCACCTGCCACTCCTTCTTTACCTGTTCTCAAAAGATTCTACGTTTGCCTTTTTTTTTTTTTTTTAACCTCACCTTTCTGGATTTACCATCATAGTCTGTATCTAGTGACTTCTGGCTCATTTCTGCACATGCACTCACCTGACTCAAAGTCATAGATTGGATGTTTCCATCCCTCCCGCCCTCGCTCGCCTCTGTGCTCATCCCTCTTTCCCACTCATCACCCATGGCTAAACATTCAGTACTCACCATCCTCATTCCTCCCCCCTCCTGCCTGCCAGTGGCTTCCATGTGATTCCAGCCAAACCAGCTCACTAACATCCTATCATTTGGTTCCCTTAGCTGTCTGCTGTCACGGGTCACCTGTCCCCTACTGTTCCATGTGGTCCCCTCCCCTGACTTCTGAGTCACCTAGACATCTCCTTCCTACTTTGACTTTGCTTCTCTGTTTTCTTGGATCGCTGCAACTCCCACTTTCTGTCTTTGCCTTCTTGGAAGATGGGAACTTACTAGATCACTTATTCCCTGCCTCCAGCCTCAGGAGCAGCAGCCTCACTTAGCCTGTGTGAAACTTTGGGGATTGATAACTCCTTCCTGTTTCCTCTCTAGCACCCTGGGATCCCTATACTTAGCCTGCCCTGGGCCCCTCCCTACATCCTGTAAGTCCTCTCGACCGACCTTCCTTAGCTCTGTCCTCCCAGCCCTGCAGCAGTTCCCGGGACCTTGCGCCCCCTTTCCCGACACCGCCCGCTCACCAGTGCCCTCGGGCAGGCTCAGGATGTCCTCGCCTTGCACCCAGCAGTAGCAGGGGAATGTCGCCTCCTCGCAGGCCCCAGGGCCCTGCACTGTGATGCGGTCACAGAACCACGCGTCGTCCACTAGCCGGTGGTGTTTGCGCAACTTAACGAACTGCAGGAGCCCCAAGTCCTCTGCAATGTCACGATCAAACTCCTCTTCCTGGGCAGACCAGACCCAGGCCAGACTTAGTAGGAGGGACCCGACAGAGGCCGTTTCGAGGAGGGAGCCGCTCCCCTGTGCAGCCTGTTTCCCAGGGCCTCCAAACGCGGCATTGCCTCGTTCCCGCCCGGACTCAACCTGCTCCTTGGGCCTCAGGTGCCCGGAGTGAGGCGGAGGACAAGGGCCCGCAGCGCCTGGAGCTGGTGATGGAGCAGCATCGCCCACGTGGGTTCCACTAACTGAGCCCTCCCCGAGTGGGTGCTTGGAGGAGCTTCACGTCCGACCCCTGGCCTCATGCTTACACAGGCTCTGGGTCACTGGGAGAAGGCGCTGGAGGCTGCCGGGACCAGGGGCGGGGAAGGGAGAAGAGGTTGAGCCCAGCCCGGGATTCCAGCTCCGGACCTTGTCCCTGACTTTGCCCCGCTCGTCCCAACTCCGTGGAAGTCCCGGTCCCCGAGGTCACGGTGTCACCTTCCCCCAGCCTCCCGCCCTCCCGCCGAGAGCCCAGCCAAGCCTGGGCGCAGGGTCCCCGCTGCCCTCGCTCCCCGCGCTGACCTCGCCCCGCACAGTCCGCAGCTGCAGCTCCAGTTCTGCCTCCCCGCGCTCCCCGACCAGCCACAGCTGCACGCGGTTGTGCGACCCGGAAAAGAGCCAGGCCCCGGTGGCCACACGGATGCGGTAGCAGCCCATGGCGCCCCCCGCCTCACCCCGGCAGCTTAGGCAAGGGGAGCCAGGTGCTGCCAGATTCCCGGGACCACCCAGGGCCACCAGTGCCTAGGGAGCAGTTCCGACCTTTAAAAAACAGCTCTGCGGCCCCGCCCTCCTGGCAAGTTTTAGTCGCTCCCAAGTCCCCGCCCCAGACTAGCCGAAACCTGCGAGCAGAGCTGTAGAGCTGGCTGCGGGGACTGGCTGTGCCTCCCCGTCTAAACGTAGCTGCAGGATGATAAAGGGGCCTGTGCCAGGGTGAGGCCAACCGGGTGGGTGCGGCGGGGCCTTCCTGTACCTTCCGGGAAGGCGGGATCGGGGTGGGTTGGAGCGAACGTGGATGAGGACACGTAAGGTCTCCAGGACTTTTGGGGAGCTAGGAAGAAGTGGGGGATGAGTCCATTTTCCAAACGGAGAGGAAGGTCTCTGCTTTTCTGGGCCGGGACGTGGGGAAGGCAGTGGGCCGGCTTTGGCCTGGGAGGCTGTGCTTGGGTCTAGGGATGTCCCGCTGCTAGACCCCGCGCGGCCCATGTGTCTTCCAGTACCTGAGCTGTACCGCCTTTGAGCGCTGTGCTGCCGTCAATGACCCGGGGTTCCCCAGGCTACCTAGAACCTGGAAATGAAGCAGCTCCACACTTGCTCCCCGCCTCCTTTCAACTATCCGGGCATTGGGGTCCCAATGTACACCAAATATCATGGCCCAGACCTTGGAGAGAGGCCTGGGCAGTGAAAATCTCATTTTGTCCAACCTCCGTGGCGGGTACGGACAATGCTAGGGACCCAGGAACACCAGTCGGGATGTTAGGCTACGGTGTGGAATTGCTTGGGGACCTGGCCTACACGGGCCGTTCCCACAAACTTTGCCTTTTCCAGGTGAGTGCAGCCCCTTCCGCTCCAGTAGGTTTCAGGTTAATTTTTATCCCTGTTTCCTGGTCCTGCATGGGTATCAGGTCTTCTGGAAATCTAGGGGAAAAAAACAAAACAAAACAAAACAAAACAGCAATTGGGCCACAGCTCTTGAGGGACTTTGTCAACACTGAAGGATGAACCAGAGCTCCGGCTTTGTCACCCATCCATTAATCAGTCAGCTACACAGGTCCCTGTGTAGATCTTGATCCAAGTGATTAGAAGCATTTGGCTCTTCGTGGATATGTCTGGTGGTCTGGGCTAGGCCAGTGGAAGGTGAATCTGCTTTCTTGAGCCAGTTCTCAAAATTGACTTGGTTCCCTAGCTGTTGGTAGAGGTAAGTGAGAGGGAGTTCTAGCCCCGCCTTCCAGCCTCTGGACCTCGCAGAAGTGTCTGCTCCTTATTGGATTCAATTCCTTTTTTTTTAAAAGATGAGGTTTCACCATGATGGCCAGGCTGGTCTTGAACTCCTGACCTCAGGTGATCCACCCACCTCGACCTCCCAAAGTGCTGGGATTACAGGCGTGAGCCGCCATGCCTGGCTCAATTCCTTTTCTTATCTTCTAGGTCCACTCTGTCCTGCATCCTCTGTGCTCAGGACTACAGGTCTGCCATTTGCTAGTCCCCAGTTTTTTCAGTTTTCTGGGGTCACCCTATTCTGTACTATCCAAATAAAATGGCTCAAATTCCCATCCTGCATAATAGTAGGATCTGGTCTTTTCCCTACACATTTTCATGGGTTATTTTTGCCTAGAAAAGAGTTTGTCTCATACCTACTTCCAAAAGCACTGTTCCTCTGCTGTCTTGCGACTCCTTTTCTGCGCATTCCAGTGTACTGTATGGCCACATGTAGACAGAGGGAATGAATAATTGAGAAAACAGATTTAGCACATGCTAAATGAGTGAATATAGTTAAACAGTGAGAACAAGGCCCGGTGCGATGGCTCACACCTGTAATCCCAGCACTTTGGGAGGCCCAGGTGGATGGATCGCCTGAGGTTAGGAGTTCAAGACCAGTCTGGCCAACATGGTGAAACCCTGTCTCTACTACAAATACAAAAAATTAGCCAGATGTGGTGGCAGATGCCTGTAATCCTAGGAAGCTGAGGCAGGAGAATGGCTTAACCTGGGAGGCAGAGGTTGCTGTTAGCTGAGATTGTGCCATGGCACTCCAGCCTGGGCAACAAGAGTCAGACTTTGTCTCGGAAAAAAAAAAAAAAAAAGAATTTACAAGTTGTCTAAAGCAGAAGTCTCTTCCCTTCTTTTCTTTTCTTTTTTTTTTTTTTGAGATGGAGTTTCGCTCTTGTTACCCAGGCTGGAGTGCAATGGCGCGATCTCGGCTCACCGCAACCTCCGCCTCCTGGGTTCAGGCAATTCTCCTGCCTCAGCCTCCTGAGTAGCTGGGATTACAGGCACGCGCCACCATGCCCAGCTAATTTTTTATATTTTTAGTAGAGATGAGGTTTCACCATGTTGACCAGGATGGTCTCGATCTCTTGACCTCGTGATCCACCCGCCTCAGCCTCCCAAAGTGCTGGGATTACAGGCTTGAGCCACGGCGCCCGGCCTTCTTCCCTTATTTTCAACAGAGAGAACTAGGCCTTTAAGTTTTTTTTTTTTTTTTTTTTTTTTTGAGACAAAGTCTCACTATGTTGCCCAGATTAATGGCATGACCTTGGCTCAGTGTAACCTCCGCCTCCCAGGTTCAAGCAATTCTTCTGTCGCAGTCTCCCAAATAGCTGGAACTACAGGCATGCAACACCACGCCTGGCTAATTTTTGTATTTTTAGTAGAGATGGGGTTTCACCATGTTGGCCAGGCTGGTGATCCACCCGCCTCGGCCTCCCAAAGTGCTGGGATTATAGGTATGAACCATGGTTCCTGGTTGGTAGCCCAAACTACCTAAGAGCATTTTTTTTTTTTTTTTTTTTTTTTTTTTTGGGAGACAGGGTCTCACTCTGTCACTGAGGCTGGAGGCCAGTGGTGCCATCACAGCTCACTGCAGCCTTGATCTCCCAGGCTTAGGTAATGATACTGCCTCAGCCTCCCAAGTAGCTAGGACTACTGGCCCGCGCCACCACGCCCGACTAATTTTTGTAATTTTTTGTAGAGATGGGGTTTTGCCACGTTGCCCGAGCTGGTCTCGAACTCCTGGGCTCAAGTGATCCACCAGCCTTGGCCTCCCTCCCAACATACTGGGATTACAGGGGTGAGCCACCGCACCTGGCCCTTTTATTTTTAAATTTTTATTTGTCCCTAACAGTTACCATTTCGTTCTTATGTATGCTGCAGGAAGGGCCAGGGACTTAATTTTGTCAATGTCCTTTGCAGTAGGAAAGCCCATGTGGGTACGCGTGAATGCCAAATGTGAACTTTCTTCTTTCAAACTCCCTGACTCCTTGCTGTCTGTGCCAGGAGCCAGCTCCCACATTCCTATTACCTCTCTTTGTAGAACAGTTTAACTTTTGTTTTTTCTTTTGGAGACAGTCACGCTCTATCACCCAGGCTGGAGTGCAGCGGTGTGATCTCAGCTCACTGCAACCTCCATTTCTTGGGTTCAAGCAATTCTCCTACCTCAGCCTCCTGAGTAGCTAGGATTACAGGTGCACACTACCACGCCCAGCTAATTTTTGTATTTTTCTTAAGTAGAGATAGGGTTTTAACCATGTTGGTCAGGCTGGTCTTGAACTCCTGGCCTCAAGGGATCCGCTCACTTTGGCTTCCCAAAGTGCTGGGAGTACAGGTGTGAACCACTGTGCCTGGCCAATTTAACTTCTTTTTTTTTTTTTTTTTTTTTTTTTTTTTTTTGAGACGGAGTTTCGCTCTTGTTACCCAGGCTGGAGTGCAATGGCGCGATCTCGGCTCCCCGCAACCTCTGCCCCCTGGGGTCAGGCAATTCTCCTGCCTCAGCCTCCTGAGTAGCTGGGATTACAGGCACGCGCCACCATGCCCAGCTAATTTTTTTGTATTTTTAGTAGAGACGGGGTTTCACCATGTTGACCAGGATGGTCTCGATCTCTTGACCTTGTGATCCACCCGCCTCGGCCTCCCAGAGTGCTGGGATTACAGGCTTGAGCCACCGCGCCCAGCCCAATTTAACTTCTTGATCAGAGCTTCTGCCACTAGGTTGTGTCCCAGGGAATGTGGATGATGAGGATAGTCTTTACATTTCAGAGCCAGAAAGGCTTGCTAAAGAGTTTTTCCTAAACACAAGAATAATTTCATCCTTTCCCTTTCTCCTCTGCCAGTGTGGCTTAAACTGCAGCTAGTGTTAGTTCTGTTGTCTCTGCTATGTGGGTGTTTGGACCCCATGTTTGGCCTGGGTCTACATAAATTTGTATTTGTTCCTTGAGACACCTACACATTGGACCCAGGAGGCATGACATTATAAACCGTAATCTTAAACTGTGTAATTTTAAACTGCTACGTAATAACGGAATGTGATTTCCGGGCACAAATTGTGTCATCTATTTCTCCAGTTAGTAATCTGGGGACCCCTCATCCCTATTCGCAGGAAGTCCGGCACTTTTCTCTTTGAATACTGTGTGTGTAGTCCCAGCTGGGGAGGCTGAGGGGGGACGATGGCTCGAGCACAGGAGGCAGAGGCTGCAGTGAACTGTGATCTCCCCACTGCACTCCAGCCTGGGTGACGGAGCGAGACCCTGTCTCGAACAAAAACAAAAACAAAAACAAAAAAAAAAAAAAAAGAGAGAGAGAGAAAAAGAAAATGAGGGCCTCAATCTCTTTTCTTCCAAGTGGTTTCTTGGGCCCTTTAGTCAAATTTACACTCTCCACTGCCTCTACCAACTCTGCGTGCCGGGGGAGTGTTGGGTGGGGAATGGGGGATGCAGAGGGTGGGGTAGGGGAAAGGGAGAGCTTTTGTGTTTCTGTAGAAGGGAAATCAAGGCTCAAGACTCAGAGAAGAGACAAGAAAGGTTTGTTCTCAGATAGCTGTCTATGTCCGTTCCAAGAGAAATGAAAGCTGACAGATCCTCGACTCTTTGCTGCCTATCTCCCTCTTTTCTCCAACCTCTGCTGCCCCAATCCTAGTACGTATTCCTTAGTCAAGTCCAGAGAGTCTGTTCAAGTTTCTGAGGGCTCACAGAATTATCTTCAAACATGAATATACTTATAGAATTGGTTGGCTAGGTGTGGTGGCTCATGCCTGTAATCCCAGCACTTTGGGAGGCTGAGGTAGGTGGTTCACTTGAGGGTCAGGAGTTCAAGACCAGCCTGGCCAACATGG